AACTAGGTGCGTCTTGTGGTCTGGTGCGTCTTATAGAGCGAAAAATACGGTATATTTTATCTGCACATCAGAATGAATTTCAGGAGCCAAAATGCCTTTTCTGTGCAGCCTATGCAGGAGCAGCGATCAATATTATACTTAAATGTTGTTGCTTGTCTTCACTTACCCCACCTCACTGCCCTGCTCACGGTTGTGAAGAATATTCTTTAAGTTATGAATGGTTAATAATAATAATAATAATAATAATAATAATAATAATAATAAATTATTATTTATATCCTGCCCATCTGGCCAGGTTTCTCCAGCCACTCTAGGCAGCTCCCAGCAGAATATTAAAACACCATAAAACATTAAAAACTTCCCTATACAGGGCTGCCTTCAGGTGTCTTCTAAAAGTCAGATAGCAGTTTATTTCCTTGACATCTGATGGGAGGGCGTTCCCCAGGGTGAGTGCCACTACCGAGAAGGCCCTCTGACTCGTTCCCTATAACCTCACTTCTCGCAGTGAAGGAACTGCCAGAAGGCCCTCGGAGCTGGACCTCAGTGGCTGAATGATGGGGGTGCAGAGTCCTTCAGGTATACTGAGCCGAGGCCGTTTAGGGCTTTAAAGGTCAGCACCAACACTTTGAATTGTGCTTGGAAACGTACTGGGAGCCAGTGTAGATCTTTCAGGACCGGTGTTATGTGGTCTTGGCGGCCACTCCCAGTTAGCAGTCTAGCTGCCGCATTCTGGATTAGTTGCAGTTTCCGGGTCACGGTAGCCCCATGTAGAGTGCATTGCAGTAGTCCAAGTGGGAGATAACTAGAGCATGCATCACTCTGGTGAGATAGTGCGCAGGCAGGTAGGGTCTCAGCTTGCATACCAGATGGAGCTGGTAGACAGCTGCCCTGGACACAGAATTGACCTGTGCCTCCATGGACAGCTGTGAGTCCAGAATGACTCCCAGGCCGCGCACCTGGTCCTTCAGGGGCACAGTTACCCCATTCAGGACCAGGGAGTCCCCCACACCAGCCCGCCCCCTGTCCTGCCAAAACTACTACTGTCACCGTGTCACTATTAAGAAAAATAGGTAGGAATAGGCCAATATATATGTGGACTGTCCCTGGATAAAGCAAATCTTCTTCTTTAAGTTCTCAAAGCTCAGCCTAGATCAAGATTGTCATCTGAACTAACCGTAGGTGTAACTGAGAATCGCAGTCACGTCTGTCATTTGAAAAATAAAGACGTTAGAGCCGTCCTGCCAAAAAATGGCAGCCAGGCATTCTGTTTCAGTGACCGCAACCTTGGTTAAGGAGCCATTTGGTGCCTAGCTTACATATTTGAGTTTCTGACACTGCTGGTAAGGTAAGACAGCCAAGAAGACAATGCCTTTCTCCAGAGAGCTGCCGTTAACCCTTTTCTCTCTCCACCCTCAGCTGTGCTTTTGTCACCTATGAGAAGATGGAGTCTGCAGACCAAGCCATTGCTGAGGTAACTGCCATTGCTATTCCCCTTCGAGTTTCCTGAAATGTCCAGCTCTGAGGGCCTTCTGGCGGTTCCCTCACTGCGAGAAGTCAAGTTACAGGGAACCAGGCAGAGGGCCTTCTTGGTAGTGGCACCCACCCTATGGAATGCCCTCCCACCAGATGTCAAAGAGAACAACTTCCAGACTTTTAGAAGACATCTGAAGGCAGCCCTGTTTAGGGAAGCTTTTAATGTTTGATGCATTATGGTATTTTAATATTTTGTTGGAAGCCGCCCAGAGTGGCTGGGGAAGCCCAGCCAGATGGGCGGGGTATAAATAAAAAATATTATTATTATTATAAATGAGGCTAGGAAAAAACAGGAATGGGGTGATACCCAACAGTAGTCATTAGAATTAAGCCCATGGGTTTTCGTGAGTCTGCCCTAGATGCAGAGGAGTGACGGGAGACAGCGTAGGCTCAGAGCCTGGGGATTGGTGGTGAGTCAATGACACGTGGTCAGAGGGAGAAGAGAGAGAGGACTGGCAGGAGGAGGTGTCAGGAGCAGAAGAGGCAACAGGATTTTGTGAGCAGGAAGAGGTTGTGACAGAGAGTGGGCGAGACTTGGAGGAAGGGGAGGAGGAGGGGCAGGAGGCAAAGATGAGGCAGACTTCTTGGTTCTATATGGTTATACGGTGGTTCCGCTCCTTCCTCCTGGGCCGTGTCCAGAAAGTGGTGTTGGGGGATGAGTGTTCAGACCCCTGGGCTCTCACTTGTGGGGTGCCTCAGGTTTCCATCCTCTCCCACATGCTTTTTAATATCTATATGAAGCCGCTGGGAGAGATCATCAGGGGGTTTGGGCTGGGTGTTCATCAGTATGCAGATGACACCCAGCTCTACCTCTCCTTTAAATCAGAACCAGTGAAGGTCCTGTGTGAGTGTCTGGAGGCGGTTGGAGGATGGATGGTGGCTGACAGATTGAGGTTGAATCCTGACAAGACAGAAGTACTATTTTGGGGGGACAGGGGGCGGGCAGGTGTGGGGGATTCCCTGGTCCTGAATGGGGTAACTGTGCCCCTGAAAGACCAGGTGCGCAGCCTGGGAGTCATTTTGGACTCACAGCTGTCCATGGAGGCGCAGGTTAATTTTGTGTCCAGGGCAGTTGTTTACCAACTTCATCTGGTACGCAGGCTGAGACCCTACCTACCCGCAGACTGTGCATGCTCTAGTTATCTCTCGCTTTGACTACTGCAACGCGCTCTATGTGGGGCTACCTTTGAAGGTGACCCGGAAACTGCAATTAATCCAGAATGCGGCAGCTAGACTGGTGACTGGGAGTGGCCGCCGGGACCACATAACACCGGTTCTGAGAGATCTGCATTGGCTCCCAGTACATTTCCAAGCACAATTCAAAGTGTTGGTGCTGACCTTTAAAGCCCTAAACAGCCTCGGTCCTGTATACCTGAAGGAGTGTCTCCACCCCCATCGTTCAGATCCAGCGCCAAGGGCCTTCTGGCAGTTCCCTCATTGCGAGAAGTGAGGTTACAGGGAACCAGACAGAGGGCCTTCTCGGTAGTGGCGCCCACTCTGTGGAACACCCTCCCTTCAGATGTGAAGGAAATAAGTAGCTATCCTATCTTTAAAAGACATCTGAAGGCAGCCCTGTTCAGGGAAGTTTTTAATATTTAACACTGTACTGTTTTTAACACTGGATTGGCAGCCGCCCAGAGTGGCTGGGGAAACTCAGCCAGATGGGCGGGGTATAAATATTATTATTATTATTATTATTATTATTATTATTATTATTATTCTATTGATCTTTACGGTGCTTCAGGGCTCTCTGGGCTGTGGAGCAATTTCCGTAGAAATGGATTAAGGCACTCCACCCCCTTGTCTCCTTAACAGCTCAACGGAAAGGTGGTGGAGGATGTGCAGCTGAAAGTCAGCATTGCCCGCAAGCAGCCCATGCTGGACGCAGCCACCGGCAAATCGGTCTGGGGGTCTTTGGGTAAGTGCCGGAGGAGAGGGGTCTGGAATGGGGAGGCAAGAACCAAGTTCCAAGACGATGGGAAGTGGTTTGAATGTTGGTGGTGGGGATATGGAACTCGGGGATCTCCCAAGTTCCCGTGTTTTGATGACAGGAATCGGAGAGGTAAGTGGGGTCAGATTCCCAGAGAAAGTGTGTGCCAGTAACAGCAACCAGCAACTTTCAGTCTGCCAATAATATATCCCACTCGCTTAAAAGGGTTTGTGGGGCTGGGTGTCCACCACCAGTTGCCCCAGAATCTGCTTCTTTTATCGTCTTCCAAGGTTCAGCTGGGTAGCATGAGAGAAGCTGGTCACCTTTGCCTTGTTGTGATCCTAGATGTCCCTCCCTTCTCTCTCTTTCCCAGCTGTGAAGAATAGCACCAAAGGCTCTCACCGGGACAAGCGATCCCAGGTCGTTTACAACGAAGACATCTTCTGAGGCCTGTGGGACAATCCCCATTTCGAGCGGTGGGGTGTTTCTTAAATGTTTGCTCTTTTTTGTTGTTGTTAAGATGTGCAAATAAACATTGCCTGTGTCTTCGAAAAAGCACCGTATCGCTTCTCTCAAAGTCTGTACCTCAAAATGCACCTGAGCCCATGGGGGGAAAAGACTTGTTCTATAATGCACCTTGCCACGGGATCAGGAAGGCAAGGTGTAGTAAGAGAACAATTATAATGGCCACATCTTAGATGATGCTCAAAGATTATTAGGCAGATTTATGTAGGGTAGACCTATCAGCATAGCCGTCAACTTTTCCCTTTTCTTGCGAGGAATCCTATTCGGAATAAGGGAATTTCCCTTAAAAAAAGGGAAACGTATAGTTAAAGCCATGGTTTTCCCGGTAGTGATGTATGGAAGTGAGAGCTGGACCATAAAGAAGGCTGATCGCCGAAGAATTGATGCCTTTGAATTATGGTGCTGGAGGAGACTCTTGAGAGTCCCAGGGACTGCAAGAAAATCAAACGCATCCATTCTTAAGGAAATTAGCCCTGAGTGCTCACTGGAAGGACAGATTGTGAAGCTGAGGCTCCAGTACTTTGGCCACCTCATGAGAAGAAAGGACTCCCTGGAAAAGATCCTGATGTTGGGAAAGATGGAGGGCACAAGGAGAAGGGGACGACAGAGGACGAGATGGTTGGACAGTGTTCTCGAAGCCACAAACATGAGTCTGACCAAACTGCGGGAGGCAGTGGAAGACAGGAGTGCCTGGCGTGCTCTAGTCCATGGGGTCATGAAGAGTCGGACACGACTAAACGACTAAACGACAACAAAGACCTATCGGCACAGCCGGCAACTTTTCCCTTTTCTTGTGAGGAATCCTATTCGGAATAAGGGAATTTCCCTTAAAAAAAGGGAAACAAAACATGTTTTGATGTCTTCAATTTCATCTCTTTGTTTGATCTAAAAACTTACTTGAGAAAGGGGGAGGGAAAATGGAAGCTTGGGATTGTGAGATTGCTGAAGTCTACGCCGGATATCAACTCCTAACTGGGGTGGAATACTCACAGCTACCCGAAAGACACCAGTATCACAGAAGAGAGCTATTTATCCATTTTCTTCGTACAATGGAATTTAATACACAATTGTTAAAATTGCATTCACTTTACAGGATTTCAAGATACCCGTTCTATTTACACAAACCACCCCAGGTGCGAGGTGGAGGGTGGGGGAATCGGGGAGAAGAGTCTACAGGAAATCCAGTCCCTCGTCCCGGAGCTCTTCCTTGAGCCAAGGCAAGATCTTGAAGAGGTTGATGTGAAAATCCCTGGCATAGGCAGGGGACCCCTCGTGGCGATTACGGCCAGTTTCGCAGACAGGCAGTTTCCTGTTTCTACAAACATCAACCACGCCCCAGCTGATCACGCCCACCTGCAGGGGGGAAAAGAAGAGGCTGGAGTGAGACTACCAGGCATACCGTACAGTGGTACCTCGGGTTACAGACGCTTCAGGTTACAGACTCCGCTAACCCAGAAAAATTACCTCGGGTTAAGAAATTTACCTCAGGATGAGAACAGAAATTGCACGGCGGCAGCGGGAGGCCCATTAGCTAAAGTGGTACCTCAGGTTAAGAACAGTTTCAGACCTCTAGAACGAATTAAGTTCTTAACCTGAGGTACCACTGTATTGGCCTGAATATAAGCCGCACCTTTAAAATTCAAGGGGGCAGGGGGACAGAAAAAAAACACAATACCTGCCACCGCAACAGTTGCTGGGCAAGAAGAGACATTCTGCAGGGGGCGCATAGCTCGCCTCACTGTGCCAGGCGGGTGCCCCCCACTCCATTAACAGTGGCGAGGCAGGCAGAGGGGGATCGCATGGCAGCGCCGCCGTGGCAGCCCCCGGCGGCACTCACCCCCCAGCCGCCTCTCCCCGTGGCAGCCCCCCGGCGGCGGGAAACCCCCCCCCCATGACAGTGGAGGAGCACGGCAGGAAGCGTGAAGTGGCAGCACCAGTGGCCACCCACCCGCCACCCCCGCTTGTCAGGGCTCCAGCAGGAGTTAGGGGGGGGGTCACTGTATGTTTCAGCAGCAATATTGGGCTTTTTGTAATGTTGCGAATATTGTCAGCTTTGCCTTTGAGCCGGTGCCAACGACTGGGCTCAACCTCTTCTGCCCCGACTGGGCCAGGCGAGCTGGGAAAGCACTTCCAGAGACCTTCCACTACGGGAGAGCAGGTCCAAGTCCAACGGACTCACAACTTTGAGCTGTGAGCACCAAAGTCAGCAGAGCACAGCAGAGTATGAATCACACCAACAACAGCTCTGAAGCTTAACTTTATTCTTTTACAGCTACTGCAAACTAAAATAAACTATAAACTAAAGCTAAAGGAGGCTTCTGGGCTGCGTGAGTGTTACAGATCCTTATGCAGCCATCTTATCTCTACACAGAGAACACTCAGACTCCCACAGAGTCAGGCTGGAGTGGAAGAAGCAATGAGCAGATTCCGCCCCCTCCTTTCTGAAAACATCATGAGATTCTTGCAATGGGAGGGGCGAAATACCCACAAATATAAGCCCCACTTTAACTTTTCACAGTCGGAATTTGGGGGGGGAAGTGTGGCTTATATTTGGGCCAGTACGGTATTAGACAGGAGCTCTCTCTTGTCTTTTCAGCACATACTGAAAGCCTTCTAAGCAAAGATCTTTGCTGCTCTATATCTGTATTGGAATTGTTTTTAGGCCTTTTAACTGCTTTGGCGTCAGCGGGTTCCTTTGGGAGAAAGGGAAGGCTACTAATGGGATAAAGCGAAACAGCTGAATGTGCAGCTTGCTTGGACCTTCAGAGTGTGCTATCAGAGAGAACCAAGCCTTGTGATTACTTTTCTGCTGCCCCCCCCCAATGCCACACTTGTGTGGTGCAGCTGTAGAATTGGGGAACACAAAGCCCTGCCTATAAAGAACACCAGGAACTGGCATGTCATTTGGAAGTGGTGGCATGGCTTGGGGTCCAGCGGAGAAGCCTGGTGCCAGTTGGAGTCCACACTTACCTGGATATAACGTTGCCTTTTAGGAATGATGAGGGGACCACCAGAGTCGCCTGGAAGCAAAAGGAAAGGGAATTATCAGAGGGTGTGTGATGTTCAAGTCTGAAGCTATATACATGTACCAGAGTTCCAGTTCTACTCAATGAGGGGACTGTAGTTAAAGAGACCCTCTACTCCCCTCCCAGAGCTACAATTCCCAGAGTCCCCTGGGAATAATAATACAGTGGTACCTCGGGTTACAGAGGCTTCAGGTTACAGACTCCGCTAACCCAGAAATAGTACCTCAGGTTAAGAACTTTGCTTCAGGGTGAGAACAGAAATCATGCGGCGGCAGCAGGAGGCCCCATTAGCTAAAGTGGTGCTTCAGGTTAAGAACAGTTTGAGGTTAAGAACGGACCTCCAGAACAAATTAAGCTCTTAACCCGAGTTACCACTGTATATACATTTATATTTTAAAAAAACATTCTCAAATTAATCCTTTATATCTAACCATTTTCTATAATTCCAGTAGAAGCAGAAGCACTTTCCACTCAAAACTCTAAATTCTCATCTACTTTATAACTTATTCCAAAAGCCATCCTACATCTTTGCCAGTTCCACAAATACTTCAAGATCCATGATGCTGTATCCATTGATGACAAAAGTGCATGCAAATTTGCCGATTTTTTAAACTCCACAGAAAATCTATATCACAATGCTACATGCTCTGGTGGATTTTACAAGGGAAAATGAAGCAGCACTAAAAATGCCACTCCATTATATGAAGCAATCACAATACAGTGGTACCTCGGGTTACATATGCTTCAGGTTACATACGCTTCAGGTTAAGAACGGAACTCCGGAACGAATTAAGTACTTAACCCGAGGTACCACTGTAATTTATTATTTATATGCCGCTCATCTGACTGGGTTACCCCAGCCACCCTGGGTGACTGGGAAAAAGGATTGACTTAAACCACTGAGAATTTTAGCGCTCTGAGGAGAGAGAATACAGGATTCATTGTAACTCTCAGCACCCTTTGGGTTCCGGAGAAGCCACCAGTGTGTTAAGTGATGTCACGGTGCTTTAGACATGTGCTCTTACTTCAACGTGGGCAATGGGGCAGCTTCTCCCAACATATACATGGGCAGCTGTCTGCTTCCGCAAGACCATCAACGGTGTCTATGAAAAGTTTTACACATCACCTGGGAAGACAGGCAAACTAATGCCAGCGTACTGGAAGAAGCAAAGATCACCAGTGTCAAAGCAATGATTCTTCAACATCAACTTCGTTGGACTGGTCATGTTGTGCAGATGCCTGATTATCGTCTTCCAAAGTAACTACTCTATTCCAAACTTAAAAATGGAAAGCGTAATGCTGGTGGTCAACAAAAGAGGTTCAAAGACTCTCTCAAGGCAAATCTTAAAAAAAATATAGTATAAACACTGACAACCGTGAAACACTGGCCTGCGAGCGCTCCAGTTGGAGAACAGCCTTTACCAAAGGGGTCATGGGCTTTGAAGACACTCGTACTCAGGACGCAAGAGAGAAACGTGCTAAGAGGAAGGCACACTTGGCAAATCCTCACCGTAATCAGCTCCCACCCGGAAACCAATGTCCCCACTGTGGAAGGACGTGTGGATCCAGAATTGGCCTCCACAGTCACTTACGGACTCACTGTTAAAACTATGTTTATGGGAGACAATCTTACTCGGCTACGAGTGATCGCCAAAGAAGACGACAACTTCTGCAAGAGGAAGCAGAGCCCAGACAACTAGAGCAGTGTTTCCCAACCGGTGTTCCGCGGCACACTAGTGTGCCGCGAGACGTTGCCTGGTGTGCCGCGAGATGTTGCCTGGAGGGAGGCGGGTGAGTCGGGCAGCGAGAGGCGCGGCGGCGGCGAGGAGAGGCTGCCCAGCGCGGGGCTCTCGCCGTCTACCTGCCTGGCTGCCTGCGTGGCGCTGACGTCACGGGGCTGTAACGTGCCCCACATAGGCACACGCGGGGCGGCGAGCGAGCTCCCTCCCACATCCCATCGCCGCTCGCTTCGGCCGGCCTACTGGGCTGTCGCAGGCAGAAGGCCTGCGCATGCGCGAGGTTTTCGCGCCTTCGGGATTCCCTTCACGCCTTCCTCCTCCCGGGTCCTTGAGAGCGCGGGAAGCGGCAGCGCGAGACCGGCGTTGAGCCTGGTAGGTATTGCGCTTGCCAAGGCAGTCATTTGGGAAATGAAAACTTGCAAAGCAAGCAACCAGTTCAATCTGAAGTACGTGTATGCTTAATATCCTGTATCTGAAACCTGTTCTGCCCCCTCCCCCACACTTGGTGCCATTTTCATCTACACATGCAGCAGAGTAAGTTGACCCAGAATAGTACCAATTCAGATGGCAGATGGGAGAATGACAGTGCTGAATGCTTTCCCATGTAGAACAGTCCCTGCAAATAAAAACCTAGCATATTTGGAAGAGGGATGCTAGCCTAACCATTACCTTCTATGCTGTTACTATTTTTTTTTTTTTTTTTACATAAGTAAAAAGTGACCTTTCCCCATCTGGCATGGTGGTGTGCCTCGAGATTTTTTTCATGAAACAAGTGTGCCTTTGCCCAAAAAAGGTTGGGAAACACTGAACTAGAGGGATATCCTTACTGGACTTTACTCTCTGGGGAAAGAAGCAAGCACGTTCAAGTCCTGAACTGTCCCTCTAAAAGCGATTCACTGCGTTTTTCTGCGAACGCAGCCTTAGTGTGAAACTTGAAGCAAGTCCACACAGGCAGCCCCGATTGTGGTTCCTGGGGTGTCCTAGGAGGAGGTGCTGTTCCTCACCTTTGCAAGTGTTGGGGTCCACTTCAGGGTCAGCGCCCCCTGTGCATAAGAAGCGTTCAGTCACCACCTGGGAGACGTCCGTGACATTTACGTACTGGGAGGCTTTCTTGGCGTCCGCTTCGCAACCAATTTTCTGAGGGGGAGAGAAGGAAAGGTGGGTTTACTGCTAGTAGGGCTTATCCACACCCCCCCCAAAAAAATTATTTGGTTTTACAAATTTAAAATTAAAATAATACCACAACACACCCACAGTTATAAGATTCCTCCAAATCTCTGGACTTCCCAGCTTCCCCTCCTTGCATTCTGTTGTTAAACCTTTTCTACCTCGTATTTACGGGACCGCCTCTCCTGGTATGCCCCGCAGAGGACCTTAAGGTCCATGAACAACCATAGTTTAGAGGTCCCGGGCCCTAAGGAAGTCAGACTATCCTCTACCAGGGCCAGGGACTTTTCAGTGATGGCTCCGACCTGGTGGAATGCTCTGTCCCATGAGACTAGGACCCTGCAGGATATAACCTCCTTCCGCTGGGCCTGTAAGACAGAGCTATTCCGCCTGGCCTTTAATTTGAATTCAGCCTGATCTTTTATTTCCCTCTCTTCCCTCCCCCTTTTTATGAAGATCACCTGCTCTGAGACCCCACAGCTAATTCTCCCCTGGCCTCCTCGCTGGCCCAAGTAGGACTAATTCAGCCAGCTAGCCCTGGTGACTATCTAATGCTTATTAGATGGATTTTCCCCTAAATTGATTTCTGAAGTTTGAATTTTATTGTTATTCATGTTTTTATACTGTATTTTATGCTGCTTTTACAATTAAGTGAGCCCGGTTTTCTGAACCGGGAAGTGCAGAGTATAAGTGAAAGGTTATTATTACTTATTATTTCTACTGCATCTTTTTTCAATAATTCAAGTTTTTTATAACTCCACAATGTCCATAGTTCTTGTTACATTTACAAGTGTTATTGCAGTCTTGCTAGTGTTTTCAACTGCTTACAGTGGTCTTCAAGGTAAATTTAAAGTTTTTCCCATTCCTTATTAAAGTTTTGGTCTTCCTAATTCCTGAGCTTTCCGGTCGGTTTTGCCATTTTGGCATAGTCCAACAATTTAATTAGCCATTCTTCTCTGGTAGGAACTTTATCATCTTTCCATCCCTGGGCTAACAACATTCGTGCACCTGTCGTCACATACCGTATTTTTCGCCCTATAGGATGCACTTCCCCCCCCCCAAAATGAAGGGGAAATGTGTGTGCGTCCTATGGGGCGAATGCAGGCTTTCGCTGAAGCCTGGAGAGTGAGAGGGGTCGGTGCGCACCGACCCCTCTCGCTCTCCAGGCTTCAGGAAGCTATCCACAAGCCGTGGGAGCCCAGCGGGAAGTCACGCCGGGCTCCCTAGGCTTGCGGAGAGCTGCCTGCTTCCCGAAGCCTGGGGCGTGCAGCAGAGCACACCCTGGGCTTCGGGCAGCTCTCCGCAAGCCTGGGGAGACTGGCGCGACATCGCGTCGGGCTCCCACGGCTTGCGGATAGCAGCCTGTTCTGGGGGCTGGGGTTGGGGGAAGCTTGGGCTTCCCCCACCCCAGCCCCGCGCCTGGGGGGGAAATAATTTTTTTTTATTCCCCCCCCAAAAAAAAAACTAGGTGCGCCCTATGGGCCGTGGCAGTGCACCCTATGGGGCAAAAAATACGGTATATTAAAAGTATTTTCTGCTCCCTTGAAATTACTTTAAAGTTATAAAAGTTATAACTTTTATTTTTAAAAAACCAGATGCTTTTTCTATTAGGAATTGTAGGTGCTAAAATTCCAAGGGCTTTCCCACATTTCCTCTGGTCCTGCGGCTTTCCTTTGGAGGAAACTGCTCTTTAGCGCTCAACCAGAGCAAATGGCAACTTGGGTTTTCCCGATCTTTTGCTAAAGGGCAGGTTTTCCCTCAAAGGAGCAGAGCAAGGGGAAAACACTTGGGGCCCTCCTTTCTAGGCACGTGGAAGTGGGGACAAAGTGAAGCAACCTAGAGGAGACATCAAGGACTCCGGACACCAAATTATCTCTAGCACCCAGCTCTCACTATGCTTCTTTTCCCCCACCAACAGTCCGATTACATTATGTTTCTCCATAATAATTTTTTCTTAAGGCCAAAGGCAACCAGCACATTGGAGAGAAAGCAAAATTAAATTCTGCTCACTGGTGCTTAGGGCTCATCCAGGCCTCCTTTTTGTGTGTGTGTTTTTATAAATAATTTTTAATTAAATTTTGCATATAATTTCCAAAGATCATATAACATATATTCTTATCTTATACGATATTTTGGACTTCCATCAACTACATCAGAAGATTTTTCAATTTTGTCACTTAATCTGCATTTCATTAATTTCACTATTACTTTTTACTAATCCTTAACGAATAATTTCTATCCCTAAATTTTCTCTGCAATATTTCGCATAGTCCTCCTTACAAAACTTATTGCAATCCTGCTAGCGTAATCTGTTGATTACAGTTGCTTTTTAAATAGTTCACATATTTACTCCAGTCTTCTGAGAATCTCTGATCCCTCCGGTTTCAAATCCTTCCTGTCATCTTATCCAATTCTGCATAGTCCATTAATCCTTTTTGTGTCTCGAGGCACGGGTCTGTGCTTCAAAGTGCTCTAGCTCAGCGCTGCTTTTTTTTTGCCCAGCAAAAATATCAACAAAAACATCCGTAAAGGTAAAGGGACCCCTGACCATTAGGTCCAGTCACGGACGACTCTGGGGTTGCGGCGCTCATCTCGCTTTATTGGCCGAGGGAGCCGGCGTACAGCTTCCAGGTCATGTGGTCAGCATGACTAAGCCGCTTCTGGCGAACCAGAGCTGCGCACGGAAACGCCGTTTACCTTCCCGCCAGAGCGGTACCTATTTATCTACTTGCACTTTGACGTGCTTTCGAACTGCTAGGTTGGCAGGAGCAGGGACCGAGCAATGGGAGCTCACCCCATCGCGGGGGTTCGAACTGCCGACCTTCTGATCGGCAAGTCCTAGGCTCTGTGGTTTAACCCACAGCGCCTCCTGCGTCCCAGAAAAACATCCGTACTCAAGGCTAAAATAACAAAGCATAGCAAACCAGCAGCGATTAAAATTTGCAACCAGAGGAAGCCTGTTGAGATAACACAGGCAAGCAGCAATGAGTCTCTCCAGGGAGGCAATTCCACATGGCAGAAGTGGAGAGTCTGACAGCAGGAGTGGCCAATCTGGTGGCTTCTTGATGTTGACGGACCACAACTCCAACCACCCGACCATTATGCCGGCTGATGGGAATTGGGAGTCCAACAAGGTCTGGAGAGGACAACATTGGCTACCTCTGTCCTGAGGATAAATGAGAGTCATCACTTGGGTTCTTGCTCTTGCATATTTTTTATAAGACGCCTGAATATTGCTAGTGGTCAAAAAGGGGTACCCTGGCGCAGTTCTCCCTTCTCACCTTTTCACTATTCCTGATTTTCACTGTCCTGCGAGACAGACCCTTGGCCTGTTGGTCCTCGTGTTTACAGTCGGTCACAAAAAACGACGGGACGTTTCCAATGGTCAGGAGCAGTTCCTCTGAGGGAAACAAAAGAGCACAAAGAGGTTGGGTCCTGCTGTTGAAAGAGGAGAAGATGGGCCCGGGGGCTTGATCCAGCGGGGCTCCTCTTAACATGATGGAGGTATACTGGGAAGGCTAGAAACTGTGGGTGGGTGGGTGGGTGGGTGGGGGAAAGGGGAAAAAGAGAGAGAACCCGGCAAGGGTCAGGATCATGGGTGGCCAACCTTTGGGGCAAGTCTGCCACAAGTCCAGGCAAATCAAGGATGAGACAGAATATAATAATAATAATAATAATAATAATAATAATAATAATATACAGTGGTGCCCCACAAGACGAATGCCTCGCAAGACGGAAAACCCGCAAGACGAAAGGGTTTTCCGTTTGCGAGTTGCTTCGCAAGACGAATTCCCCTATGGGCTTGCTTCGCAAGAAGAAAGCCCATAGGGAAATCTCCGGGGACCTCTTTTAAATGCTGGCGGTGGGGAGCAAAGCCTTTCCCCCCCTCCGGCCTTCAGAAGAGGTCCAGGAAGGCCGGCGGGGGCCGAAAGGCTTTGCTCCCCACCGCCAGCATTTTAAAAGCGGTCCGGGATAGCAGGGAAGCGCTTCCCGCTATCCCGGACGGCTTTGGAAGGCAGGCGGGGGGGAGCAAAGACTTTTGCCCCCCGCCGGCCTTCAGAAGAGGTCCTGGACCTCTTCTGAAGGCCGGCGGGGGGCAAAAGTCTTTGCTCCCCCCTGTATGCCTTCCCGGGAGAGCGGAGAAACGCAGCGTGTTTCTCCACTATCCCGGACGCCAGCATTTTAAGATCGCCCCGGGACAGCGGAGAAGTCTCCGCTGTCCCAGGGTTTTTTAAAATGCTGGGGGTGGGAAGAAAAGCCCTTGTCCCCCCCCCAGCCTTCAGAAGAGGTCGGGGGACAGATTGTCCCCGGACCTGGTCTGAAGGCGGTTTCCATAGGAACGCATTGATTGATTTTCAATGCATTCCTATGGGAAACCGTGCTTCGCAAGACGAAAAACTCGCAAGAAGAAAAAACTTGCGGAACGAATTAATTTCGTCTTGCGAGGCACCACTGTAGTGGTACCTCGGGTTACATATGCTTCAGGTTACATATGCTTCAGGTTACATATGCTTCAGGTTACAAACTCTGCTAACCCAGAAATAGTACCTCGGGTTAAGAACTTTGCTTCAGGATGAGAACAGAAATCGCGCAGCGGCAGCAGGAGGCCCCATTAGCTAAAGAGGTGCTTCAGGTTAAGAACAGTTTCAGGTTAAGAAAGGACCTCCGGAACAAATTAAGTACTTAACCCGAGGTAAGTACAGTGGTGCCTCACAAGACGAAAATAATCCGTTCCGCGAGTCTCTTCGTCTAGCGGTTTTTTCGTCTTGCGAAGCAACCCTATTAGCGGCTTAGCGGATTAGCACTATTAGCGGTTTAGCGGCTATTAAAGGCTTAGCGGCTTAGTGGCTAAAAGGCTATTAGCGGCTTAGCGGCTTAGAAAAAGGGGAAAGCGGAAAAAATCGCAAGACTCGCAAGACGTTTTCGTCTTGCGAAGCAAGCCCGTAGGGAAATTTGTCTTGCGAAGCAACTCAAAAACAGAAAACCCTTTCGTCTAGCGGGTTTTTCGTCTTGCGAGGCATTCGTCTTGAGGGGCACCACTGTACTTAATTCGTTCTGGATGTCCGTTCTTAACCTGAAACTGTTCTTAACCTGAAGCAACACTTTAGCTAATGGGGCCTCCTGCTGTCGCTGCCACACGATTTCTGTTCTCATCCTGAAGCAAAGTTCTTAACCTGAAGCCCAATTCTGGGTTAGCGGAGTCTGAAACCTGAGGCGTATGTAACCTACAGCGTATGTAACCTGAGGTACCACTGTAATAATTTATACCCCACCCATGTGGCTAGGTTGCCCCAGCCACTCTGGGCAGTTCAGAACAGAATATTAAAATACAATAAACCATAAAACATTAAAAACTTTCCTATACAGGGCTGCCTTCAGATGTTTATTTCCTTGACAACTGATGGGAGGGTGTTCCACAGGGCAGGCGCCACTACCGAGAAGGCCCTCTGCCTGGTTCCCTGTAACCTCACTTCTCGCACTGAGGGAACCACCAGAAGGCCCTTGGAGCCGGACCTCAGTGTCTGGGCTGAACGATGGGGGTGGAGACACTCCTTCAGATATACTGGACCGAGGCCATTTAGGGCTTTAAAGGTCAGCACCTACACTTTGAATTGTGGTCGGAAACGTACTGGGAGCCAATGTAGGTCTTTCAGGACTGGTGTTATGTGGTCTCAGCGGCCGCTCCCAGTCACCAGTCTGGCTGCCGCATTCTGGATTAGTTGCAGTTTCCAGGTCACTTCTGCTGTGTGTACCACACTACATTATAAGTGTGCACACACAACCCTGGGTTATTAGGATGGGTTTGGCTCTAGCCTACTGAGCTGGAGGGAAGACAACAATGCAGTGCTGGAGAAAGAGACACAAGTGTAGGTCTGACTCTGTCCCCCAGAAGCCAGCTCACGCCCTCTTTGCTAGGCATGCCACAAAGTCTGCTGCTTGTACCACCTCTGTGGTACCTCTGCAGTAGGTTGGCCATTCAGGCAAACAGGCCTGCTCTTCTTACCATGATTCCTGCAGGTGGTCTGTGGGTGGGGCTTCCTCAGAGCCCGGGTGGTCCCAGCCGTACAGGGGAGGCAGATTGGCCTGTGGAGAGGAATCACCAGAGAGAAGTTAGCAAAGCACCAGCACCGGCCCTGGAGAAGGACCTAGAACTTTCCTACTTATCAGGATTGTTTGCAGTTTACTCGGGCAGTGTAAAAGCTTCCTATTGTTTGCCTTTGGTCACTGCCTCGGTCGTGGGACATACCCCACTTCACAACCAAGGATTAATTTGCACCAGAGCTCAGACCTCAGAGAGATGATAGGACATCGGCAGGTAATGTCGGGGATCAGCCATAACGTGCAAATAGACAAAAGTGTTCCTGAGGTTGTGCAGAGTGCATTTCCCTCACTACAAAATAACAACAGCAAGGAAGTTTGCAGAAGCTTAACGACGAGAAAATTATTATGGCCCAAGTTGCGTGTCGAGACCCCACAGCCACCCCCTCGTTGGAAATAACTCACACAAGGACACAGATATTAGGTTTATGTTATTGGGCACATTTTGGCCACAACTTTATTGAAATTACAGAAAGTGAGAGGTATTGGCTTAGGCATTGATTGGACCTGACTATATCTGACTCCTGCCCGATGCGCAGGAAGTCCAGTAAGGGTAAGCCACCGGTGTAGGGGAGCCCTGTCAATGCGAACCAACTCAAGCTCCCCCTGGTGTTCCCATCGGGGTCGTGTCAAGGCCTTAGCCCCCCAGCCAGGCTTCAGACTAGATCAACACCCCCGGATTCCTTTAACGGAATACCCTTAAGCATGGAGGGGCAGGTGATGGCCACACCTCCCCTCCCCCATCACACGGTCAAACAATGCCTAACCGCAACCCTAACAAAGTTGTGACGATTTCTACGAGGTAGGCGAAAACCAAGTGGCCAGTGCCAATTTGCCAAGTGGAAAAATTCCTACCAGGCCCCTCGGACAACCAAGGCGACCAACTGAAGTCGATAGCAAGGCCATAGCCTAACCTGCAAAATAGGGAGGGAGGGAGGGGGATTGAGGAAGTGAGCCAAAGAGGAAGTCCTCTGGCTCGCTCCTCCGTTTAAACGGCCCCGGCCATGCCCCGGCCAGCGGATTGGCTGGCCGGGCTCTAACCCGCTCTAACAAAGTCCCCCGCCCCCAGTGAGGAGTGGGTGGCCACGCAGTCCACCGCAACTCCTCCCCACTGGGAAGTGGAGCGGATTTTGCAGACTAGAGCCCACAGCAGCAGATGTAAAGGTCTCTAACCCATGAAAGGTGTCAGAATCCAGCCTGACCACAACTTACTATCATTTACTTATTATTAAGGAGCAATAGCTTGCTTTTAAATATTTGAAAACCACACATTTTCAAGATGCTACACCACAATCTCATATCCCTTGTGTTTTGTAAAACTGCAGCTGAACCTTGGCTTATTTGCTGCTTATTGTTTCTTGCTTGGGCCTAGAACACTGACATTTCGCTCGGGCACGGGTGCGAGTCTCCCTTTTAATCGGAGTCCCAATGGAAAACCGACATTTTCTCTCCCTCTCCACCTCACCTTGCAGAAACGGAGGGTATGACTTTTTTGGAGAGTTTCACCAGGGCGACATCATAATCATAGAATTCAGGGATTCCACGATCTTTTAGCTTCCCAATCTGGTACAATGGGTGCGATCGGACTGCAGCCACTTCAAAGCGCTGATTCTCACCTAGACGGAGAAGGTGAGAATTAAATGCAGAGTTCCAGTAAACGCTGCTGCCTGCAGTGCTTGTCACCAGGTGATTGTTATGTACTGAGTTGAATAGGATCCAAAATGCAGCAGTCTGATTGGTCCTAGAACAATAGGATTCAGAATGCAGCAGTTTGATTGGTCCTAGAACAATGCAGCAGTATGATTGGTCTGAAGGAGCTACCCAATCCGGCTCCAGGTGGAAGTGAATCCACAACCTGATTGGCCTACAGGAGAATTCCGGAATTAGCCAATCACGTGCAGCCCATTGTGTAAATAATGCATATAAAGCAGATACTTTGAGGGGACATTCATTCCTCCTCACCAGTATGAGCTGAATAAAGAGCATGAAATCCACTCTCGACTCTGAGTATATTTCAGTGATCAAAAACATGCCCTCTGATTTCTGCTCACCCGGTTCCTGTAAAAAGGCACAAGAGGAAACCACAACACGTTTTCCCTCTCACACACACACCCTCTCTGGGAACTCTGGTCCTTCCCAGCTTGGGAGAATTTGGCTTACCTAACGTGACTTGGATCTCCTCAGCTCTGTCAACTATGGTGAAGCAGTGGGCCGCTGTCAAGACGTAATACTCTGAGACAAGGGCTCCTTTGCAGTGTTCAAATCCCCTTCCAGTGCGCTTTGATTTGAAAGAGAACAGACAGGTAAGAACAATACCCAGACGGATCCTTCTATCATGTATGGTGGCAAAGCAATAAAATCAAAACGTTCTGGGAAGATACCCATTTAGAACTCGAAAAGATGTTAAGAATCTCCTTTAACATTAAGCCAGAGGCATATTTACTGGGTATTATTTGATAGGGATTTTCCTAAAAAAATTAATGATATTTTTCTCTGTGCAACGGTGGCAGCGAGGGTTCTTATAGCTACAATGTGGGAAAGTGGAAAAGTTCCCTCAAGACAAGAGTAGGTCCATAAATGATCGATTATGCTGAATTAGATAGTTAATCCGAAAAATCAAAGAACAAACCAAGGAAAGATTTCATTTCAAAATGGGATGGGAAGTATTTAAAATATATTTGAAAATTAATAATACTGACCTAGAAGCCGTAGTGGCATTTGAATAACTCCAGCAATATCGTTCGATTTAACATATTTTGAATGTGATGTGAGATGACAGTAATAACATGCATGGGCAGTAAAGAATAGTACTGTATTTTCTGGCATATAAGACTACTTTTTAACCCAGGAAAATCTTCTCAAAAGTCGGGGGTCGTCTTATACGCCGGCTACAGCAGCAGCTCCTGCAGCAACTCCCCACCAAAGGATAAAATGACAGCAAATTAAATCAGAGGACACCAAGCTCTCTAGATGAAGCAGAACTACGCTTGAAAATTGGCCCCAGAAGCCCCCGGCCACTGGGAAGTGGAGCAGATTTCCGAGCCGGACTGGAGACTGGTTTTTAAAATTTTTATTTGGTGTGCGTTGGAAGAGGGGTATTCTTATATGGCGAGTATATCCCAAACTCTATATTTTAACTGGAAAAGTTGGGGGGTCGTCTTATACGCCCAGTCGTCTTATATGCCGGAAAATACGGTAATTTGATTTATGGAGTAGATGGGAAGTCGGGTTTATAAAGAAGAGACCATTACAGTTCATTGATTATGAAACTTATATTAACTCTCTATGTAAGGCGCGACTGATGGTACTTTCACTATGGTTCATTTTGTCCTTTTTTTGTTGTGTGTTGAGCAAATGAAATAATATTAATAAAGAAGAGGAACACCCGACAATCCATGGCACAATCCTATGCATGTTTATGTGGAAGCAACTCCCACTGGGTTCCATGGAGCTTATATTTTCTGGAAGAGTGCATAGGATTGCAACCGTAGACAACTTCAAGTAGGCTGTCACAAGTCCAGCCAAGAAAAAAGCATTTAAGGCCAAAATTCAACAGGTGGACCTTATCTCTATCTTAGGGATGGGGAAACTATAGCTATTGAATTTCTGTCAGCAGTTTAAGGAACAGAGGACCAGCCCCATGGAAAATATGTGGCAATCCTAGACTTGGCTTGCTGGATAACGTGAGCTCTATATGCCCACCTGGGGTGAAAATGAATCCTGGTGCCCCACCACCACCACGACCACACTGTATCTTGCACAAGGCTAGGGCTTGGATATTATGTTGTTTCCTTGTGGCCAGGCCACAGATTCCTCACTCCTGCTCTGTCTGAAGTGGTACCATCCAGAATTCTACCATCTCTTCCTATTACCTCATTCTGCATAATACTGTATGAATCCCCTCCAACATTTCTCTGATGAAAATAGGGACGTCCCCTTCATCACTTCTCGGATAAAAAAACATCCTATTCTTTGGGGGCGCTGTGAGGGATGCGGGTGGTGTTGTGGTCTAAACCACTGAGCCTCTTGGGCTTGCCGATCGGAAGGTCGGTGGTTCGAATCCCCGCGACGGGGTGAGCTCCCGTTGCTCGGTCCCTGCTCCTGCCAACCTAGCAGTTCAAAAGCACGTCAAAGTGCAAGTAGATAAATAGGTACCACTCTGGCGGGAAGGTAAACGGCGTTTCCGTGTGCTGCTCTGGTTTCGCCAGAAGCACCTTGGTCATGCTGGCCACATGACCCAGAAAAACTGTCTGCGGACAAACGTCAGCCCCCTCGGCCAGTAAAGCGAGATGAGCGCCGCGACCCCAGAGTCGTTCGCGACTGGAGTTAACTGTCAGGGGTCCTTTACCTTTTTATTCTATACGCTCCAACATTTCTCCGATGAAATTAGAGACATCCTAACATACCCTCCAACATTTCTCTAACAAAAATAGGAATGGCCTAAGGAAAAGCGGGACATTCCAGGATCAAATCAGATATCAGGACGGCGTCTAAATCTGGGACTGTCCCTGGAAAATAGGGGCACTTGGAGGGTCTGCTGTATTTGGACAAAGAGGTGCTGTGCAGGAGGTGGCTAGAAAGCAGGCCCTGTGGTTGCTAAGCAACCACACCATACTTCCACCCAGCAAGTTTCACAAGAACCCTCCTTAGCGGTGGGGGTGCCAGGGGGTGCCATAGCTGGCACTACGCTTGGGTCGAACATTCTCTGTCTACTGAGAGGCTCCAGAAGCCATGAACCCAAACCAGATATCCATCAGACCACCACTAAAGAACCAGATCTCCATCAGATTGCTACTGCAGAAAACCCTTGTCTCCTTCTCATTTGTTCCGCTCTCACCCGGATGCTGATTGTGACGTGCCAGGGATTCTTCTCTTGGTCCCTCGCTTGCGTGTGCTCCTTGGCCAAGCCACACATGGACAGAACCTGACTCTCATCTGAAAAGAGAAAGGGGTGTCACCTTCAGCTTCTCAGGAAAGGAGAGAGGGGCCTCATGGGTTGAGAAGGAGCCAAAAGGGTCAGGACTCCTAGGTTCCTCTGGGAAAGGAAGTGGGTGGGGACTGACAGGAGGAGGCAGCTGAGAGCACCAGTTTCTTGGTTATACATTGAGCCAGTGTTGAGGGGCTGCTAAAGGGCACAAGAAGTACTGGATGAGGCCAAGGGCCTGACACGCTGCTTTCTACAACAGCCAGCCAGGTGCTTCTCTGGAAGGCCAAGTTCCCTAGTTTCATGTAGCCATCATGGCTAATATTTTTCACGTATGGTTCTAATCCACTCAAGCTACTGGCCATTATGGCACTTTCTGTTCAAGCTGAGTAGCACTAAGACCTGTAGGAGTGGCCAGTGTCGTGTAGCTGCTCTCAAACATTTCCCAGAATCCTCTGCAATGAGAGAAAAGCTGATGTGGAAAATGGGCATTTTAGTTGGCCTTTGAGGAACTTATCTTTGCTGTGTCATAGATACCAAGGATGAGGAATAGAGAGGAGGCTGAGAGTCAGATATTTCTGGGAAAGGAAATGTTGAAGGACAAGTCGGGGGAGTGCCGAAATCCCTGAAATGGAGGTCCGCCTTACCAATCATTTCTTCAAAGGCATCCCGTACTTCATCGTAGTCTTTGAGCTTGAAGACGTGTCTTTCACCGGGCTTCTGAGACGCCAAGGCGTTCACATTCTCTATGGCGACCATGGACCCGATACCAAAGATGTAAACATCTAGGAACAAGTGGGGGTGGAAGGCAAGGGTGAGTCAAGAATTTCTAAGGCTTCCACATGAAGAAAAGAAAAGAAAAAGCACCAGTATGTGACAGGGCAAAAGACCTTCCTGTGCCAGAAGTACCTCTGAAATAAGACAGGCTCTTTCATTCTATGCCCTTTTCGTAGTACGACTTATGATCCCCTTGCAAAAGTATAAATTCATCCCCTAGCAGACTGTGACCCTGAACTACAGATGCAAAATATTTGTTCCTCCTGTGCATGTGAAAACCAGCATATGCAGCCATGGACACATGGTAACAAGTCAAAGGGATAACGTCTCGCCAAACATTGTCGCTCCATGGATTCATAGAGCAGTGTTCTTCAGCCTTGTCCTCTTTGTGGTGCTGTAGACCGTGAATTGATTTATGCCAACTGTTATGCTGTGTGTGTGTGTGTGTGTGTGTGTGTGTACATATGTGTACACATGCACACACAGTTATACAGCCTTGGTCCAGTATATCTGAAGGAGCATCTCCACCCCCATCGATCTACCTGGACACTGAGGTCCAGCTCCGAGGGCCTTCTAGCGGTTCCCTTATTGCAAGAAGCAAAGCTACAGGGAACCAGGCAGAGGGCCTTCTCGGTAGTGGCACCCACCCTGTGGAACGCCCTCCCACCAGATGTCAAAGAGATAAACAACTACCTGACTTTTAGAAGACATCTGAAGGCAGCCCTGTTTAGGGAAGCTTTTAATGTTTGGTGTATTACAGTATTTAAATATTTTTTGGGAAGCCGCCCAGAGTGGCTGGGGAAGCCCAGCCAGATGAGCAGGGTATAAATAAATTATTATTATTATTACTACTACTACTACTACATTATATTGTTTTATATGGTATACAGGATAAATGCAGCTTGCCATCCACATTTGGTGCCTAAACATTTGCTTGACAAAAAAAAATCACCTTAAATGATAGTAGTGGGAATGACCAAAGCTAATGTACAGGCAAGATATATCATAGCAAGAATGAAATATCCTGGAATTGTAGATTTGGAAGGTAAAATGAGTCAAGATGAAAAGCAGCCGTGAGTGGCTCAGCCGGTAGAGCATGAGATTCTTATTAATCTCTGGGTCGTGGGTTTGAGCCCCACATTGGGCTAAAGATTCCTGCATTGCAGGGGGTTGGACAAGGTTGGACAAAGCCACTTCCAAGCTGGAGGGGCGGGGTTGCGAGCTTCATGCCCCCTCCACGTGAGCGGGGGGGGGGGGCTGGCTCTCAGCCTCCATGCGATTGAGGGAATCCCCGACCGCGTCATCACCTGGCCAGCCAATCGGCTGGCCTGGGGGTGTGGCCTGCACTATTTAGTGCTGGAGCGGCCGGGGATCTTCCTCTTTTGGCTGCCTCAGCTGCTCCGATTTCCCATCCTCCTGCCCTTTAGGTTTTTCTTTCTGACGTTGCTATGGACCTCAGTTGGTCACCGTTAAGGGGCCTGGTAGGAATTTTTTCCACTTGGCAAATTGGCTCCAGCCACTTGGTTTTTCGCCTACCTCGTCACAAATCGTTACAACTTCTTCAGCATTGGCGGTTAGGGATTGGTAAGGGTATTGTTATGTAGATGAGAGGGGGGAAGGAGCGCCATCACCTGCCCCGCATATTGAAGGGTAGCCCGATAAAGGATTCCGGGGGGCGTGGCCCTGTCCGAAGCCTATGGAGGGGAGGGCCTAAGGCACGGCCCCGAGCGGTGACCCCAGGGAAGCTCCTAGTTGATGTGCATCAGCAGGACTTCTTGTTGGGAAACTGTGTAAGTGCAGCTACTCACACAGAGTCAATTAAGGTTTGGCAGACAGCCAGAAGGCAATCTGAAGGAGTAGGTCTGCCTGGTGATAACAGAGACATGGAGAGAGCTCTTTGATTGGTCAAGCTCTCTCAAGGGAGTCATAATTAATGGCCTACTAACTGGAATGTGTTAGTTCAGAAGTTCAGAGTTCTGTGTGTCAGTGTAGGAGTTGTGAGTCGTGTCAGAGAGAGCTAGCAAAAGATCCGTGTTCTGTTCCTGTAAATAGTCCACTGTATATAATAAACACCCAACTACATGTTCCTGGTTCCTGCTTTGTCTATCCTGTCTGCAGCCAAGTTGCCAATTGCTTCCGTGGATTCTGCGTTTACTCTGCTAGGTCTGGCTAAGGTCCTGCAAGTAGTCAGAAAGTTGCGAAACACCAAATAGGTTTTGCCAATAGGACTCCCCCTACTGGTGGTTAACCCTTCCCAGACTTCAAGCAGGCTGGCTGAAGCCGGATAGTCGGTTAGCACCAATGCCTAAGCCAATACCGCTCATCACCTGTAACCAATAAAGTTGTGGCCATTTTTTGCCCATTAACCTAAATAATTGTGTCATGTGTTTTTATTTCCACTGGGAGGAGACGGGAACTCGCCACGCAACTCTGGAATTCTATGAAACCATTCTCTAATGGTGGTCTAGGTCATTGCTGCCCTTTACTATTCCCGTCCCCGCCCCCATCCCCCCCCAAAGCCCAACATGCATCATTGTTACGGGACGTGTCTTACCCAAGAAGTCATTACGAGTGGGCTGGCCAGGAATATTGAGGAACTCCTTGATTCTTCCAATGACAGGAACAGGGGTCCCTCCCATGTTGTAGTCTCCTGGGACGAGGGGAAAGGGAGAGAATTTGGTGAGCACAGAAGAGATGGTACTGGAATGCCCTCCAGCTTTGGGAGGGAAAGACTACAAGGCCATAATTAAGGGAGCCCCATTGGAGCAAACAAAACTCCACTTTTAACAGTCTTGTGTTTCTGGCAGGCCCCTAGGAAGCCCACAATTCGTTCCGGAGGTCTGTACTTAACCTGAAACTGTTCTTAACCTGAAGCACCACTTTAGCTAATGGGGCCTCCTGCTGCTGCCGCGCCGCAGGAGCATGATTTCTGTTCTCAACCTGAAGCAAAGTTCTTAACCTGAAGCACTATTTCGGGGTTAGCGAAGTCTGTAACCTGAAGCATATGTAACCTGAAGCGTATGTAACCTGAGGTACCACTGTACTCAGAGGAAGAGGGTCCCTGTTAAGCTGGAAGTTCTGCTAAATGCCATTGTTTGGAACCGTTTTGAAGGGAGTCTTGGCCAACAGTCTCTCCAGAGAGGAAACATGCTTTGCACATTATTGGGGACACCTTACCCTTAAAAGGTAAAGGTAAAGGGACCCCTGACCATTAGGTCCAGTCGTGACCAACTGTGGGGTTGTGGCGCTCATCTCGCTTTATTGGCCAAGGGAGCCGGTGTACAGCTTCCTCGTCATGACTAAGTCGCTTCTGGCGAACCAGAGCAGTGCACGGAAACACCGTTTACCTTCCCTCTGGAGCGGTACCTACTTATCTACTTGCACTTTGACGTGCTTTCGAACTGCTAGGTTGGCAGGAGCAGGGACCGAACAACGGGACCTCACCCCATCGCGGGGATTCAAACCGCCGACCTTCTGATTGGCAAACCCTAGGCTCTGTGGTTTGACACACAGCACCACCCGCGTCCCTTACCTTACCCTTTAAAAACAGGCCAAAAACATTGGTCCCTGGATAGAGAGATTTTCTCAAAGACAGGATTTGGGGTAAGCCCCCCTCCCCCGCCCCCTTGCCATCCACTCATGTTGCAGTCACCTAGGAATAGAATAGCACACATGCTCAGAGGCACTTTTTGTGGACCCATTATGGGTAAAAAGAAGGAAAGGCAGCAAGCCTTTTAAGTAGAGGTATTTCCCAGCTTGCACCTGTACCGGAACTGTTTTTAAAAGACATTTTATCATGTATGTGTTTGCTGGGAACTGGGCTTCTTTGGGAGGAAGGATGGGACAGAAATTCAAAATAAACAAAGCAATTTCTGAAATCATTGTTCTAATAATTCTTTTTAAAAGGAGGAGATGAGGGAGGCGATGCAGGTAACATTCCCCCTTCCCTACAGTCTCACCGTCAGTCAAGAGGAGGATAACATGGCGGGTGGTGGTGGCAATAGGAGCAGGATCCAACCCCTCCCTCAGTTGGTCCTCTTGCTGGTTGATCATCATCTTATAGACAGCATCCAGACCTTTGTAAATGTTGGTTCCAGGCTTTAGCTTGTGTTCTGCAGGAAGAAGAAGAATGATTCAGCTCATGGCAAACAACCCACTAGGTGGACAGCTGAGGAAAGCCTCACTAGGCCTCAGGGGCTTCCTTGTAGGGGGGAAAAACCAGGCCTCTACAATTAGCGATGGGCAAATGTGCCAATTTGGGTTTCTCATTTTTCCAGGCTTCAGTTCTCCACATTTCCACATCACTTCATGGAAAATCTCCTAAAAATTCAAATTTTCTCTTTGCAAAGCCGTTTCCCCCAGTATAATGCATCGCTGTACATTGTTTTCATGAAGAAAGATGCATTTATAAGCAAAACTGGCCCTAGCAAATGACCTATTGGACATGCTACTTGGCCAGAGAACTGCACTGCAAAATTCAGAGATTATTTATAGAATTGTAGAGTTGGAAAGGACCACAATGCAGGAATCCTTGTCCAATGTGGGACTCAAACCCACAACTCTGAGTCTTATGCATAAGAGTCTTATGCTCTAGGGACACGGGTGGCGCTGTGGGTTAAACCACAGAGCCTAGGACTTGCCGATCAGAAGGTCGGCAGTTCGAATCCCCACGATGAGGTGAGCTCCCGTTGCTCGGTCCCTGCTCCTGCCAACCTATCAGTTCAAAAGCACATTAAAGTGCAAGTAGATAAATAGGTACCACTCCGGCGGCAAGGTCAACGGCATTTCCATGCATGAATCTGGTTTGCCAGAAGCGGCTTAGTCATGCTGGCCACATGACCCACAAGCTGCACGCCGGCTCCCTCGGCCATTAAAGCGAGATGAGCGCCGCAACCCCAGAGTCGGTCACGACTGGACCTAATGGTCAGGGGTCCCTTTACCTTATGCTCTACCAACTGAGCTATCCTAGAGAAGTATGAATTTCAAAGGGCGGCTGTGCCTTGGTTTGTGTGTGTTTCTGGGAAGCGCAAACCTTGCCTTGTGAACTGAGCCAAAATTCAGGCAAACAGGCTGCTTCTGTTTTGATAGAAAAGCAGTTGTGGGACGCTGAAGCACTCTGGAGTCATTTGCTAAATTCACTTGCCAAATATTCCCCCTCCAGGCTGCTATTTGTCCCCCAAAGGTACAGTAAACTGTTAAGTTGTGGGTGAACATATCAGACGACACAGCGATTCTTCAAACAGCTCTTGTTTATTCAGAGGCCAGAACAGAACTGAACTGAAGGGTTCAGCCAGCCTGCTTATATAGAGCTCCAGTACAACGTAACTGTAACAACTTTCTGTAACTATCCAATCACTGAACATCATTTCGATCCCTTATTTGCATATGTGGACCTGAACTATCTACAGTATTCCCCTGCTGGCCCAGGGTGAGAACTTCAGTACATAATATAAACCTTCCAACAGTGCACCCCCCCCCCAATTCCCTTGCCCAGCCCCCTAACCACCTCCCTAGCAGAGGTCAGGAATGCAGCTTACCATTATATTTCAGGGCCTCCAGCTGTTCAATCACCCAGGAGGCATCATTGCTCTTTGGGTTGGTCGTACTCAAAACCTCTTTGCTGTGGGTGGCAAAGGTGACGATGCCGTAGCGAGGGAAAGTGTCATAGCTGGATATCTATATTGAGAGGACAGAGTGTCAAGAGAAAGAGAAACCGTCATGGCAATAGTTATTATTATTATTTTTTCAAGCTGTACACTTCAGGTCAATAAACACACAAGACGTAACCAGCTATACTTTTGAACAAATAAGGTATACTGTTCGTTGTATCAAATTGTAGATTTCAAGAGACGTAGCTCATAAAGTTCAAGGAAAAAAGCAGAAGACCCAGTGGATCAGTTCATTCTCTAATCAGTTCATGCATAAGGTCCATATATGTTTAAGTGTCTATTCTACCTGTCTGTTCATAAAGTCCAACAATCCACGTGAAAGGTTGTTACAGTTCCACAGAATCCTTTCACAGAGTCTAAGACAAGGATTTCCAGAATATTAGCCTTGTTTCGCCGTCTTGGGCTTCATCAGTAGTAAAGGTAAGGGTAAAGGGACCCCTGACCATTAAGTCCAGTCGTGGCCGACTCTGGAGTTGCGACGCTCATCTCGCTTTACTGGCCGAGGGAGCCGGCGTTTGTCCACAGACAGCTTCCGGGTCATGTGGCCAGCATGACTAAGCCGCTTCTGGTGAACCAGAGCAGCACACGGAAATGCCGTTTACCTTTCCGCTGGAGGGGTACCTATTTATCTACTTGCACTTTGACATGCTTTCGAACTGCTAGGTTGGCAGGAGCAGGGACCGAGCAACAGGAGCTCACCCCCTCACGGGGATTCGAACCGCCGACCTTCTGATCGGCAAGTCCTAGGCTCTGTGGTTTAACCCACAGCGCCACCCACGTCCCTCTCATCAGTAGTACAAGCTCATATATGATATCACAAGACAGTGGATCTTATAGCATAGTAGTAGCTGTTGAAATCTACAATTTGATACAATGAACAGTACTTTATTCAAAAGTACAGCGGGTTACGTCTCGTGTGTTTATTGAATATGTTTCACGTAACCATAGGTTTGCTGTTGTTTTGCACACTTCAGGTCGGCAGACAGCTTTCGTGGTGAGTTCCATCTCTGAGGACAAACAGAAACCATTTCAGGAGAGGGAGGGATGAACTCAGTTAACCATCTTCTACCTCAGTGTAGAAATTACAGGGTTAGGGGGTGTTACTTTGTGCTGCGTTCCTTCCAAACCTGGAAATTACTAGGGTCTCACTCTGTTCACCTCCTCAAACTGTTGGCTTCTGCTTGCAAGGTGGCAGGATTCTGGTTTCTTCTCCTGGAAATCCCAACAGTCAGATTCCAGGGTCTGCCTTCCTGCCCCATCTCTGTTACCACAGCAAGTTTAGCAGACTAAAATTTGTGCATTGAGAGCATCATCTAGCTTGCATTAGCAGCATGTCTGAGTGCTTACTTGGTCAGCTGATCCCAATGGCCAATCCCTGCCCACCCGGCCCTATAAAGCCCTAGCCTCAGAAGCTACTCCCCTCAGTACAAGAGCATTGTCTCTTGAGAAAGCATCTGCCTCTCTCTCCCTCAGCCTTTCCTGGAAAAAAACACTGGAGCTGCAGCATGGCTCCCAGCTCAACTGATCCTGCAAATAAATGAATCTCTCTAAAATAGATTTTCACTGCCTGCATCTTCTGCATGATTATTTTTTAAGGAAACCAAGTTCTTTCTTTTTATGTTGTTTGGAACTCTTTTTATTATTTACTTTTACTACTAATGGATGTAGGCTTGTTTGCTATAACTACCAAAACTCTGAGTAAAATCTTCACTTATTTGCAAAGCTAAGTTCTGTGATTTATTCTAGCCTAAGTATTTTCATGGGATATGTCTGTTTAAAGGTGGATGAGGGCAGATGTAAATCTAACCAAGTTTTAATGTGCTTGGAGCAACTGCAATTGTGCTAATGCTGCTACAAAACAGTAACAATCTCTCTTCCAAACCTCTCTCCAACTGACTATATATCCTCTTCTGGGCCCTTTGCCCTGGAACTCACCCCCCTGTTACGAACCACTCACCTACTCTGACTTTTGGCCTATTTGGACTAACTGTCAGCTCCTCTTCCAAGACTCAGAACCCAGATGCCTGGAGCCTGGTTCCCTTCCTCCTTCCCATTCAGCTTTGCTCCCCACCAAGGTTTCCACCCAGATCTGACAACTTTTTATGATGATCCTAGTCAATAGAGTAGGGGCTTTACAGCAGACCTCTGCTTCTACACTGATCCCATGCTGCTCTTCTTGGGGAAAGGGAGAACACAGAAAGTTTCTCAGCCTACCACACCTTCTCGATGAACTTGATGATTGCATCCCGAGCTTTGCGAAATGTTGGCTGACCAATACTCCGGGAGGCATCAAGGACAATGTAGATATTCATTGAGCCATCAACCTCAATCTTGATTTTACGCTTCCCTGTAGCAGCTGTGGAGAGGAAAGAGCCACAAGAGGGGAGGTATCAGCAAAGGTTAGCAACCCTCCCCCCCCAAAAAAAAAATTAGTGGGAAGGAACCAACCAAACAGCCCACTGAGGACTGAACATGCTCAGTGGTCATGGGATGCCAAATGTTTGATGCAAGGGTGTGTGTGTGTGTGTGTGTGTGTGTGTGAAAACTGGAAAGGCAGGGAGGGAGAATAGAAACAAGTAACTGAAATCCTGAACAGCACTCCAGACTACATTTTGTTGCAGGTCGTCCCCCTTGTTTCCTCTGAGCTGTCTTGGTCCTACTCAGAGGGAATCCATTGAGGATAATAGACACTGCTAACTTAGGTTCATGGATTTCAATGGGCCTAGTCTTTTTTTGGGGGGGGGAGGACGCGGGTGGCGTTGTGGGTTAAACCACAGAGCCTAGAACTTAGCGATGAGAAGGTCGGCGGTTCGAATCCCCGCGACGGGGTAAGCTCCCGTTGCTCGGTCCCTGCTCCTGCCAACCTAACAGTTCGAAAGCACATGACAGTGCAAGTAGATAAATAGGTACCACTCCAGCGGGAAGGTAAACAGCGTTTCCGTGCGCTGCTCTGGTTTGCCAGAAGCAGCTTAGTCATGCTGGCCACATGACCCGGAAGCTGTACGCTGGCTCCCTCAGCCAGTAAAGCGAGATGAGCGCCCCAACCCCAGAGTCAGTCACGACTGGACCTAATAGTCAGGGGTCCCTTTACCTTTACCTACTCTTTTTTTAAAATGTATTTTTATTAAAGATTTTCTTGATTTACAAAGGTATGTGCAATATCTCTCTCTCGTATTCCCCCCCCCCCCATGTAACATTTTTTTTTTTTTTACAAATCGGTTTCATTTGTTGAGACATTAGGAAGAATAGGGGGAAAGAGGTGGAGGGGGGAAAAGATGAGTAGGGGTGGGTCAGGTGGTGATGTTTCTATTTTACTTAATATATGTGGCATAGCTGTCAAAGTTTCCCTTTTTTTTAAAGGGAAATTCCCTTATTCCGATTAGGATTCCTCACAAGAAAAGGGAAAAGTTGACAGCTATGATATGTGGGTTTTTGTGTCAGCGTTGCTTGTGCAGGTTCTCTGCTGTTCACTTGTCTTCCTTTGGTGGTGAGAGAGGCAATGGGCCTACTCTTTAGTAGAACTTAAATGGATAGTAAGCCTTCAGACATTAGGGTTGCTGCTTATGTGGGTCAGGCAACACCATCCACACCCAAGAATAACTCCCAAGGTTTGCAAAGGTACAGGGAAATATTAAAGAGGGGGGAAAGAATTTGCCATGTGTATCACTGTTTTTGTTCCGCTGCAACTCCTCTTCCTGTCCACCGTGAAGAAATGAGGTAACTTACGTAATTAATTACACAATTGTGTCAATTAAGTAAGTTACATTGTGATTATATTATTCCATCCCATTCGTTTCAATGCAAAGGAAACACAATACAAGTGGATAAAACCCCCAAATAAATAATGTATCATTTCCAAACTGAAAGCAGCAGCAGCAGCAGCAACAACAACAACAACAACAAGAAGATCATGTTGGCTGAATTGAGCTCCATTCAGGGCATAGGATAAGTAAGTAAACATTGAAAATTTCTGCTCCCATTTCCCCGTTTTGGTTGAATTCTACAACACTCCCTAGGTGGGATCTTCTGCCTCACAGGAGTAGTGGACGCTCGGGTTGCGAATGTGAGCTGTGCAGGATGCAGGTTCGCAACCCGCATCTGTGCATGCGCAAAGCACAACCGCTGAAACCCGAAAGTAACCCATTCCAGTACTTCCGGGTTTTGGCGGTCCGCAACCCAAAAAAACGCAACCTGAAGCGGCTATAACCCGAGGTAAGACTGTACTGCTGTTTGCCTTCACTCAGCTCACACCCTGCTTATATAATTGTCAAAAAGAAACCATTGCAAACACACCTAATCAAACTATAGAGGAAAGGAGTACCATCTCAAAAATAAGCAATGTTCCTAGTGCTGTTTGCTCCAAAGGAAATTTGGTAGCCCCTTCCTGGGTTATCTTACCACTCAGGAAAATGGGGAGCATCTCACAATATGGTTGTCCCACACCTGCAAATTGGACCATGGGTATCCTTGCACAAAACCCCACTTTGCTCCCAGAAACTTACAAATATTTCTGTTGGAATCTGCAGACTCGACCACTTCAGTGAGGGATGAGATGAACTTGGAGGAGACTTCTTCTGGAGTGTCAAAGGTGAAAGGGTCTGGGGAGGAAAAGGGGGAGACAGGGAATTAGCAATCTGGAGTGTTAAGAACTTGTTCGCGCAAGAAGATTCTGAAGCCAGCTTGAGCAAACCTGATATAAAGGATGAAGGTCAAAGGATGGGGGCCTCTGATCTCGCCAGATATGGTTGGCTTCCCCCCACCCCATCCCATGAATCAGACAACTGATAGGTAAAGGTAAAGGGACCCCTGACCATTAGGTCCAGTCGTGACCGACTCTGGGGTTGTGGCGCTCATCTCACTTTATTGGCCAAGGGAGCCGGCGTACAGCTTCCGGGTCATGTGGTCAGCATGACTAAGCCACTTCTGGCGAACCAGAGCAGCGCACGGAAATGCCATTTACCTTCCCGCTGGAGTGGTACCTATTTATCTGCTTGCAGTTTGACATGCTTTTGAACTGCTAGGCTGGCAGGAGCAGGGACAGAGCAACGGGAGCTCACCCCGTTGCAAGGATTCAAACCGCTGACCTTCTGATCCGCAAGTCCTAGGCTCTGTGGTTTAACCCACAGCGCCACCCGCGTCCCCAGACAACTGATAGTTACCCCAAAACATCATTCCCTTGCATTTGCAAAATGGAACTAGAAACACAGTTTGAAATGGGATTCCAGTTCTGATGTGGATGCAAACTGCAGTTTGTTGGATTTGGGTTTCATGGTAAACTACAGTTTGCTCAAAACCAGGAAGGGAGGAAGGAAATTAGACTTGCATGAGGGTAGGAGGGAAGTCAGAGCACATGAGCCTGAAGCACATTCATGATTGGCCATTACATGCGATCCATGTCAACCTTCAATGCATGAACAAATCTGAAGTGAAAGCTGGTTATTCCCCAGTATAATTTATTTTTGGTAAACTTGGGTTGCCATATTTCAGGAAGTAGAAACTTTTGTTTTGGGTCAGTTGTTGAGGTGTTTTGTTTTGTTTTTGCAAAATCTCCCCCCAAAATACCAGTTTTTGATTATTATTTTTTGAAAACTTCGGCAAAAAACCACACTTCCACAATAGGTTGCCATACGTCCAGGTTTTCCCAGACATTTAAATCAGCTGACGGAAATTCCGCCTGGATGTGACTTTTGGCAACCAAATCACAGCATTGTCCTGGAAATTCCAGATGTATGGCATCCCTAACATGGTCACAGTTCTTGGTCCACTCCTCCAGGATTTAACCTCCAATTCCAGACCACATATGTTTCCCCCAGCTCACTTCTACATTCCGGTTCCGATCCACTCCAGGCTCCTGATTCTTGGCAAATCCGCTCTTTGGATCCCACAAAAGAGAGTCCTCTGTCACAACTGTAGTGGACTCGATCTTCAATTCGATATTGGGTGCCATCTTTCTGGGCACCGATGGGGATGCCAGGGTTGGGGCAGTGGCCCGCTAGGTAGGAGAACAGAATCACAGTTATGTAGCTGTTGCTATAAAGCAGCCACAAAATTAAAAGACGCCTGCTTCTTGGGAGAAAAGCAATAACAAACCTAGACAGCATCTTAAAAAGCAGAGACATCACCTTGCCAACAAAGGTCCATATAGTTAAAGCTATGGTTTTCCCAGTAGTGATGTATGGAAGTGAGAGCTGGACCATAAAGAAGGCTGATCGCCGAAGAATTGATGCTTTTGAATTCTGGTGCTGGAGGAGACTCTTGAGAGTCCCATGGACTGCAAGAAGAACAAACTTCTCCATTCTGAAGGAAATCAGCCCTGAGTGCTCACTGGAAGGACAGGTCCTGAAGCTGAGGCTCCAATACTTTAGCCACCTCATGAGAAGAGAAGACTCCCTGGAAAAGACCCTGATGTTGGGAAAGATGGAGGGCACAAGGAGAAGGGGACGACAGAGGACGAGATGGGTGGACAGTGTTCTCGAAGCTACCAGCATGAGTTTGACCAAGCTGCGGGAGGCAGTGGAAGACAGGAGTGCCTGGCGTGCTCTGGTCCATGGGGTCACAAAGAGTCGGACATGACTAAACGACTAAACAACAACATGTTTTTGTGTCTCGGAACTGCTGTATGCATGCAACAGCTATCTGCCAATGCCCAAAACTCTCCCAAAGATGTAGACTCCCCCTTCCCTAGTTATTCACAGTGCCTGTTATTCCAGGAATCCTCATATTCAGCATGCAGCAAAGTAAGCCAGTGCCGCCAGGCCACTGTTCAATATTATAAAAGCTAAAAGCAGCTGAACACTTTTAAACAGATTTGCAGTTTACCTCTTGTGAAAAATAGTGTGACCTGCAGCAAAGTTGCATTCTTTGCAAGGATCTCAATCTAGAGATTCACGTTCTTGCAAGGGCTTACCTTACCAATTGCGGCTTGCAGAGGAGCAGAGATTGTGCAAGTTGCATTGGTTTCATATAGTGACTCAGGTCTTGACTGACCACACAGAAGGTGCCAGATGGATAGAATCGAAAGATGGAAGCGAAGAAAAATGAAACCCCTCTCTCCCCAAAAGGAGAAACTGCCAGAGCCTGCCAGTAAATGCACGCTAAACTCACCTCCATCATCACATATGGTTGTCTCTCCACTCCATTTCCCATTGGGGAGGCAGGTGCGATTACGTGACCCTCGCAGCGTGTAACCCTGGTAGCACTCAAACCTCAGTTCCTGGCCTACATTGTAGGACCTCTGGCGGGGCTCATATAGGCCATTTTCGAAATCCAGAGGCCTGGAGCAGGTGATGTCTGGAAGGAATAGCAAATGTCAGTAAGTAGGATCTAGTAATTGGTCTGCATCCTCTGACCAATCAAACATCTCCTCCCCACCCCCCATACAATCCTCAGATTCTGCCATATGAAGCCAATCCTGTCCTGGTCCTCTGAGGCTGTTCCAGCCCCAAATGCTATTTGAAAAGTTGGAGAAGGCACAAGTTGCAATTCTCACAGCGACGTCTGATGCGCTACATCGAAGTCAAAGGCCATCGGGACACCAGTAAAAACTAAGGGTGCCTCCAGACATCAGGAGGGACATACCAGAACTTGAGGTTTGCACAATTCAAAGTGGATCAAAAGGCTCTGTTGTTGTAGCACAACAAATCCACTTATTAAAAGAAGTGGGCTTTTTGCAGTTTGGTAAGTGACGGTGAAATGTATTAAAGATTGTGAGATAAACAAGCGATAAACGGGAAGATGTGTAAGCAAATCAGAATGAAACCTCAATAAAGACTGGATATACTCTAACCACTGTGTAAGCTTTGTGCAAGCAAGCCAAGAGGAATGCTTAATAAATACCGTATTTTTCGCCCCATAGGACGCACCGGCCCATAAGGTGCACCTAGTTTTTTTTGGGGGGGGGAAATAAAGGGAAAAAAATTTATTCCTCCCCCAAGACGCGGGGCTGGGGCAGGGGAAGCCCGAGCTTCCCCCGACCCCAGCCCCCAGAACAGGCAGCTCTCCGCAAGCCGTGGGAGCCCAGCGCCGGGCTCCCACAGCTTGCGGAGAGCTGCGCAAAGTTTGAAGCCTGGGCGCGCTGAGCACAGTGCGCCCCTGGCTTCTGCATGCAGGCAACTCTCTGCAAGCCGTGGGAGCCTGGCGCTGGGCTCCCACGGCTTGCGGAGAGCTGCGCGAAGCCTGGAGAGCAAGAGGGGTCGGTGCGCACCGACCCCTCTCGCTCTCCAGGCTTCAGCGAAAGCCTGCATTCGCCCCATAGGATGCACACACATTTTCCCTTCATTTTTGGAGAGGAAAAAGTGCGTCCTATAGGGCGAGAAATACAGTAAGTTGTCTGGAGGAGCCGCCAGATCTTATCAGATGTGCCAACTTTTCTAGCAGCCCACAGTACTAAGTCTTTAACTGCAGCTTGAACTGTAGATATTAGCAGGTGCTGCAATGCATATCTCCACTCAGAGAAAAGTTTCCCTGTTGGTGCTGCGTTTGGCAGAACCAGGTGCTGTTAAAAGACACAGGAGCAGGCCAAGGTCAATGTCCCCCGATCAGTTGGCAAAGATTAATATTCACCATATGAAAATAATGGATAAAGGTAACATTTGTGGAGGACTAGCTGTGGCAAAAACAGAAAGCAAGAACAGAGCCAGCTATGATGCATTTGCCCTACAAATGTCTAGATTAACAATAAAATGGCATATTTGAGCGCTCTATCGTACTTCGGCAACTGGCCTTGGAGACGCGGCTTTTCAGTGCATTCTGCATGGGGCTCCATGTCCCATCGTACTGGCAAAACCGGTAGTCTGTAGGGTATGGGTATTTCCCATCTGGGCACTCATATTTCAGCACAGTGCCGTTTTCCAGCACTGTATACTGTCCCCCAGCAATCTCAGCGGTTTGGGGGTCACAGGCATTATCAGCTGCATCTGAGGGAAAAGGAAAAAAGCAGAAAGTTAAAAAGAAGGATAGGTTCAGATCACCACTGACAGCCCACACAACCTGCTTGTGTGCATCAAAGTGCAGACATTGCTCCAGCTGACTGAGATTTCTTAACATGCCAAAAAGAAAAAAATCATAAGTGGCCAGATTTTGCTTTGGAGCATGTCTATGGTATCTGCCATTATTTTACTTCTGGGGTTGCAATAATAATAATAATAATAATAATAATAATAATAATAGTAATAATAATAATAATTTATTATTTATACCCCACCCATCTGGCTGGGTTTCCCCAGCCACTCTGGGTGGCTCCCAACAGAATATTAATTATAATGATGATAATAATAAAACATCAAACATTAAAAGCTTCCCTAATAAGGGCTGCCTTCAGATGTCTTCTAAAAGTCACATAGATGTTTATTTCCTTGACATCTGATGGGAGGGCGTTCCACAGGGCAGGTGCCACTACCAAGAAGGCCCTCTGTCTGCTTCCCTGTAACCTTACTTCTCGCAGTGAGGGAACTGCCAGAAGGCCCTTGGAGCTGGACCTCAGTGGGGGTGGAGACGCTTCCTCAGATATACAGTCATACCTCTTGTTATGTTCGGTTCAGGTTACGTCTTTTCAGGTTGTGTCCTGCGGCGACCCGGAAGTACCGGAAAGGGTTACTTCCGGGTTTCACCGCTTGCACATGCACAGACGCGCAAAATGAGATCATGCGCATGTGCAGAAGCGGAAAATCGCAACCCTCGCGTGTGCAGACGCAGGTTACGTTCTCTTCAGGTTGCGAACGGGGCTCCGAAACGGATCCCGTTCGCAACCAGAGGTACCACTGTACTGGACTGAGGCCGTTTTGGGCTTTAAAGGTCAGCGCCAACACTTTGAATTGTGCTGGGAAACATACTGGGAGCCAACCTGGTCCCATGGGCACAAAGGTGCCCTTGAGGTTTTCCCCTGGTGCCCACAAAAGCTTTGGAGCTACACACATAGTTGCTGCCTCCATCTGGAAATATATAAGCATCAACATTCTCACCAGTTTATAAGACACCATAAATGATATGGAAATATAAGAGGTGACAGCTTTTTAGATCAATCAGTCACTATACATGAGGGAACATGAGGAGAAACAGGCCCAGGCCTTGTCCCCGGCCTCCCAGCATGCTTCATAGCTGAGGAAACCACAGGATCCTGCCCTTCCCAAATCTGAATTCACCATTCTGCTATCTACCAAACGCAAGCAGGCACACAAAGACTCAGATGGTGCAATGTTGATTTATTCTTCTCGTTGGAAAATTCGCAAGAATCGCAAGAGCTCCACTTTTGGTCCCTGACCGTACAGTTTAGTGTATTTAGTATAATGGCTAATCCAAGACTCTGTTTATACAGACACATTTCCTGAAGTCAGTTATCCCGCCCCCAAGCCGAAACATCGCCCGGAACTACCTTCTCTATTTTAAAATTGTAAAGCCAAAAAAAGAAACATAGACTCCATCCTGGTTTTTACGGCGTTTGTAACCCTATGGCTAAACTGCACCACTCCAGAATCCATGTGCACAGATAAGTAGCGTAACAGCAAAGAGCCTCAGCTAGAACCCCTCTCCCTGACATCTTGTATTTTCCACGGAGGGAATTGCATTTATGGGAGAGTATTCAAGCATCTGGGATGCGGGTGGCGCTGTGGGTTAAACCACAGAGCCTAGGACTTGCCGATCAGAAGGTCGGCGGTTCGAATCCTCACGACAGTGTGAGCTCCCGTTCCTCGGTCCCTGCTCCTGCCAACCTAGCAGTTCGAAAGCATGTCAAAGTGCAAATAGATCAATAGGTACCACTCTGGCAGGAAGGTAAACGGCATTTCCGTGTGCTGCTCTGGTTTGCCAGAAGCGGCTTAGTCATGCTGGCCACATGACCCGGAAGCTGTACGCCAGCTCCCTCGGCCAATAAAGCGAGATGAGCGCCGCAACCCCAGAGTCGGCCACAACTGGACCTAATGGTCAGGGGTCCCTTTACCTTTACCTATTCAAGCATCTAAGCTTCCACTTGCAATCTGAGGTGCTCTGGCCACATATAAGTTTATCGCCTCAATGAGAACTACAGTGGTGCCTCGCAAGACGAAAAGAATCCGTTCCGCGATTCTCTTCGTCTAGCGGTTTTTTCGTCTTGCGAAGCAACCCTATTAGCGGCTAAGCGGATTAGCGCTATTAGCGGTTTAGCGGCTTAGCGGTTATTAAAGGATTAGCGGCTAAGCTGCTAAAAGGCTATTAGCGGCTTAGCGGCTTTGAAAAAGGGGGGGGAAGCGGGGGGAAATCGCAAGACTAGCAAGACGTTTCGTCTTGCGAAGCAAGCCCATAGGGAAAATCGTCTTGCGAAGCAGCTCAGAAACGGAAAACCCTTTCGTCTAGCGGGTTTTCCGTCTTGCGAGGCATTCGTCTTGCGGGGCACCACTGTAGTCTCTTTATGCCCCAGCAGAAAGGAAATCTTCACTGGACCACAACATAAGACAAAACATAACAATATTAGGGAAGCTTTGCTGGATCAAACCAGTGGCCCATCTGGTCCAGCCTCCTGTTCTCACAGTGACCAACCAGCTTCTTCTGGGAAGCCTACAAGCAGGTCCCGAGTTCAAGAGCTCCTCTTTCCATGTGATTCAACTGCTATTCAGTGGAGGTAGAACATAGCCATTGTGGCTAGGAAGCCATTGGTAACCTGATCCTCTATGAATTTTTGGTAAACCTGCTGCAAAAGCTACAAAAATCGTACGCCAAAAGCACTTTGATGCAGGAATTAAACTACAACTCACAACGCGTGTCAAATATGCACAGAGTACAAACCTCCCCAGGACACAGATACATAAATCAGGCATGTATTTTATCATCCCAGACAGGTGGGTTGCATTCCAACTTTCTACACCCAAATGCTCCCCTGCAGGAATTTTGTAACATTTGAAGTGGCTCCGAGGCATGAGTGGAGCTAAAATGTACGCTTGCAGATTTCCTGCTTTTCCAATTTTGCCCCTCAAAATTTAAGTGTGAAGCTTTGGATTCAAATTTCAAAAATAAAAACAGGCTAAGTACATGCAAAATCTGAGCGTTCCACCCAACAACCCCTTGATTATTTTGCCAAGCTTCATATGTGAAATCAGACAAATTGCTGGATAATGAGTAGCATTGAACGCCAGCTACCAAATGCTTCCAGAGACTCAATACTTTCAAAAATCACATAAATTGTCGACATTGGGGAAATGAGTATTCAGAAAATATCTGGCAAATATTTAGCATCAACATTCATCATAGGATTTCAAAAAGGGCTTTGAATTCTTTTTAGCTGCTCTGTATCAAAGCAAATATCCTGAATGAATTATCCCGAACGGCATTATCTCAAAGAGAAATTTCCAGGTAAGAGGGTCAGTGTTAGTCCGTAGCAGCAAAACCAACATATAAACACATTTCTCTATGACGAAGTCACGAAGTTTTGAGTACTAAAGTCCATCTCACCAGCTGCATCCGACAAAGTGTGTTTAGTCCACCAAAGCTTCTGTCGTGATTTTGTTTTTCAAAGCCCCCATGAAAATTGATCAGCATTTTAATGCATCTCTCTCACGTTTTCTGTGTACACCATTTTACAAATCAGTTATCCCTGACTTAATGCATTTTTGTATATAGTGGTACCTCAGGTTACATACGCTTCAGGTTACATACTCCACTAACCCAGAAATAGTGCTTCAGGTTAAGAAATTTGCTTCAGGATGAGAACAGAAATTGTGCTCTGGTGGCGCGGTGGCAGCAGGAGGCCCCATTAGCTAAAGTGGTGCTTCAGGTTAAGAACAGTTTCAGGTTCAGTATGGACCTCCAGAACGAATTAAGTACTTAACCTGAGGTACCACTGAAGTCACATTTTACACTGCAAAATTTTGAGAAGCGCAATTCTGAAGGATGGCTGTGTTTCTAGTTGCATATTCAGAAACTCTGAATTAGGTAGGCCTTGCCTTTAAATTATGACTCAATCAAATACCCCCCCCCCCAATTCTTAACCATTGTAAATAAATACATGCGTTAGTCTTTAAGGTGCCACAGGTCTCTTGGTTGAGGCTGAAGGAGTTCTGGCCTCAAGGCACCGCTGACTACAATTAGGCACTGTGTGAAATTCAGAGCTCTCATAAGCAATTTGTGCCTGGCTGTGACAGCTTACCTGTATAAAATGCCCCGAGGGCAATGAGAATGCAGAACAGCTGGTCCAAAAAAAGCTGCATTTCTGGTTCTCCCTGGTCTGTTCTCTTTCTGCCTCCTAGCAGCTTCTGTTTGGGCAGCACCGCTGCCGTCCAGCTACTTGTGAAATTTCAGGCGATCCGCTCCACTTGCTAGATGCTGGTCTCTAGCCCCACCCCGAGAAAGCAGCTGAGTTTGGGGAAATGGCAAAGTCCATGAAGCAACTCCAAGGTGATGGGTGGGGGTGGGGAGAAGCAAGAATATATTGTGGCTGCAGGTGGACAGGAATCCAGATGGGGGAAACCCAGAATCGTCTTGAAGTCAGGAAGGGAGTAAAGCCAACTAGGGGAATTCCCAGCTTGAACACAATAGGAGACTTTCAGAATGTGGACATTCCAGGGGATTACTGGGGGCTGGAGTTAGGCCAGGTCCCCAGCATTGCTAGGCGATGAGATTTCCCCCCACAGTCATGATCCAATTCCTGCTCCTCCCCCTGTATTTGCATTTTCAGACACTGCAATATTTACCCACTTCTAAACTTCCTCGTTTTTTTGGCGCAAAAGAATGGGAAAAGATTGCTAAAGAGGCCTATCTCTATTAAGCGGCTGCATGAAGGAAGTGGGCAGCGATGGGTGTGGAGTTTCGATTCTTTCGAATCAGGGTAAATATGTACCGTAACTCCCAGATTTCTGCTAGGGTTGCCAGGTGGCCACAAGAAGAGGGGAAATATAGTCTGACCTGCTCCAGGTCAGAAATGAATAGAATGTTGTTGTTTAGTCATTTAGTCGTGTCCGACTCTTCGTGACCCCCTGGACCAGAGCACGCCAGGCACTCCTGTCTTCCACTGCCTCCGCAGTTTGGTCAAACTCATGCTGGTAGCTTCGAGAACACTGTCCGACCATCTCGTCCTCTGTCGTCCCCTTCTCCTTGTGCGCTCCATCTTTCCCAACATCAGGGTCTTTTCCAGAGAGTCTTCTCTTCTGGCCAAAGTAGTGGAGTCTCAGCTTCAGTATCTGTCCTTCCAGTGAGCACTCAAGGCTGATTTCCTTCAGAATGGATAGGTTTTATCTTCTTGCAGTCCATGGCACTCTCAAGAGTCTCCTCCAGCACGATAATTCAAAAGCATCAATTCTTCGGCGATCAGCCTTCTATATGGTCCAGCTCTCACTTCCATACATCACTACTGAGAAAACCATAGCTTTAACTATACAGACCTTTTTCGGCAAGGTGATGTCTCTGCTTTTTAAGATGCTTTTCTCCCAAGAAGCAGGCGTCTTTTAATTTCGTGGCTTCTGTCACCATCTGCAGTGATCATGGAGCCCAGGAAAGTAAAATCTCTCACTGCCTCCATTTCTTCCCCTTCTATTTGCCAGGAGGTGATGGGACCAGTGGCCATGATCTTCCTTTTTTTGATGTTGAGCTTATAGCAGGTTAATTAGCAGGCACAGCAGCTCTTCATTGCGTAGAGCAGGGTTTCCTAAACCTGGGTCTCTAGCTGTTTTTTTGGACTACAACTCCCATCATCCTTGTGGTCAGGGATGATGGGAATTGTAGTCCGAAAACAGGTAGAGACCCAAGTTTGGGAAACCCTGGTGTAGAGTGAAATGCTGTCCTTGCTAACTGCTGCACATCTAACCGCTGCTGAAGGTACATAAGAACTTAAGAGGCGCGTCCTGGATCAGGCCAATGACCCACCTAGTCCAGCAACCTATTATTACAGTGGTCAACTAGATACCTCTGAGAAGCCTGCAAGGTGGACCTGGGTGCAATAGCACTGTGGTTCCCAGCAACTGGTATTTCAGAGGCATATTGACTCTGACAGTAGTGGTGGAACATAACCATTGTAGCTAGCAGGTGTTCAGAATCCCAGCCCCACAATCCCTCAAGAATGCTAAAAAGAAATCCTGGTTTCCTGATCCCACCGGTGCGAAACCCACTTCCCTCCTAGAGAATTCAAGCCTCCTTCAATATAGCTGTGGGTTAAACCACAGAGCCTTGGGCTTGCCGATCAGAAGGTTGGCGGTTCGAATCCCTGCGACGGAGTGAGCTCCCGTTGCTCGGTCCCTGCTCCTGCCAACCTAGCAAATTGAAAGCACGTCAAAGTGCAAGTAGATAAATAGGTACCACTCCGGCAGGAAGGTAAACGGCGTTTCCGTGCGCTGCTCTGGTTCGCCAGAAGCGGCTAAGTCATGCTGGCCACATGACCCGGAAGCTCTACGTCGGCTCCCTTAGCCAATAAAGCGAGATGAGCGCCGCAACCCCAGAGTCGGTCACGACTGGACCTAATGGTCAGGTGTCCCTTTACCTTTAACTTATAGAACATGTGGGCTTGTATCCAGTGTTATTCCTACTCAAACCCACTGATACCCAAGTCGTGAAGAAATACAGAGGGGGCTCTTAAGCAACTTCCTCATCCACAGAAACAGCAACATGTCTCTTATTAAGTAGTGGGTGGACATAGCAGACGACACAGAGATTTCTGCAAGTGGTTCTTTATAGTAAGCTGGAACTGAACTGAACAGCAAACAGCTCAGCTGGCCTGCTTTTATAGGCAGCCAGCTGTCAACATTGTAACAACACCCCAGGGTTTCCCGCCTAAATTAACTGACATGGACCTGAGTGAAAACTATATACATGATACTCCAGGTGACCAGGGTGAGAATTTCAATACATAACACCTCTGCTGCATAACAGGTACTCACTGAGGGCCACCATTTTATGTTATCATCTGCTAGATGCAAGTTATCCTATTTTCCCTCAGAATTTTTACTGGCCACATAGCAGAAGATTATTTGTAATGGAAAACATTGCTTGCAGGGGCAGACTTTACCTTGGGATTTTCCCATTATAAATATTATTGTTTCTTTTTTAAAAACAACAACACCTCTCTCATTAAAGAACTTTTCTTACTGCGTGTGTCTTGTTTGTAATTGTTTTGATTCCATGAATTTGTGATGGCAATCAACAATATCTCTAAGAATGAGAGACAGAAGATACGTTGCTCTGTAGCAATACACCTTTTAGTGAGGGATGCGGGTGGCGCATAGCTGTCAACTTTCAGATTTGAAAATAAGGGATCAGCAGCCTTGAAAATAAGGGATCTGCAGCCTCACCTGTCCCGGGGGCAGTCTACGGGATATCTAACAATCCAGGATAGCAGCGGGAAACGGCTCTGGAATAAGGGAATTTCGTGCAAAAAGGGAAGGTTGACAGCTATGGGGTGGCGATGTGGTCTACACCACTGAGCCTCTTGGGCTTGCCGATCAGAAGGTCGGTGGTTCGAATCCTTGCGACGGAGTGACCTCCCGTTGCTCCGTCCCAGCTCCTGTCAACCTAGCAGTTCGAAAGCACTGCAGTGCAAATGGATAAATAGATACCGCCACGGCAGGAAGGTAAACGCCGTTTCCGTGCGCTCTGGTTTCCGTTACGGTGTTCCGTTGCGCCAGAAGCGGTTTAGTCCTGCTGGCCACATGACCCGGAAAACTGTCTGTGGACAAATGCCAGCTCCCTCGGCCTGAAAATGAGATGAGCAACGCCACCCCAGTCGCCTTTGACTGGACTTAACTGTCCAGGGGTCCTTTACACCTTTTAGTATCCCAAATATTCCTAGTCTTAGTCGAAATACCCATGAATATTTGAACAGTGAGGTTAATAACCTTCTGCTATCCCGTGTAGTTTTTGACACACACACACTTTCAAATCCCTCCTACCTGCCACAGCCACATCATCAAAGGAAGGCATTGAAAGATGAGGAAACCTGAAGGGGGAAGGAGGTGGCGCTGCAGTGGTGGTGGTGGGGTGTATCCCAGCACTGGCAAGGTGTTGGGGGTGCTTTACTTCTAAAATGAGAGTTGCCAGGGCTGTAAGTCTGCCATCAAACTATAGCCTCAGGCTTTGAGGGCCTTCACCTCTGATCCCAGCAATGGTTGACATGGCGAATGCTGAGGTGCCCTCACTCTTTTGGTTTCACGTACATTAGAGGTGCACCCAGGCACTGAAAGCAGATTCCAAGGCTGCTTTTACACTACAGTGGTACCTCGGGTTAAGTACTTAATTCGTTCCGGAGGTCCGTTCTTAACCTGAAACTGTTCTTAACCTGAAGCACCACTTTAGCTAATGGGGCCTCCTGCTGCTGCCATGCCGTTCTCATCCTGTTCTCATCCTGAAGCAAAGTTCTTAACCTGAAGCACTATTTCTGGGTTAGCAGAGTCTGTAACCTGAAGCGTATGTAACCCGAAGCGTATGTAACCTGAGGTACCACTGTAGTTTGATCTGGAGTTGACACTTAACAAATGGCTCAGTGGTAGACCGTCGGCTCTGAATGCAGAATATCCCGATTCAAGCCCTGGCATCACTTGGTAGAGTTGGAAAATATTCCCTCACGTCAGTGTAGACAATACTGAGTCGTATGAACCTATGGCCTGACTCTGTATACTCCCTATGGTCCTATGACTGCTTCTGTGTTTTCTGTGATGTCCTCCGGTCTGTTTGTTTTTCTCCCGGATCCGCTTTCTGGTGATATTTTTAAAATGTCAATTGCAACAACTCCAGTGGTTGTTTGCACAAAGTGGCGAGACGTTGTTTTGTTCAGTGGGTAAATCTGAGGCTGATTTCTATATAGCAGAAACTGAGTCTGACAATTCAGTTTTTCATCTTAGTTCATTCTAATGATAATGATGATAGTAATAATATATACATATTTAATACCCTGCCCATCTGGTTGGGTGGCACATATAAAATAATAAAATAAAATCAAGTATCAAATCAGCCGTCTGTTCATCTATGGGCAGCTCTTTCTGTTGTATTTTAATTGTTGATTTAGGAAATTCTGTGACTACTGCCATGTTAAGTGGGGAATTAGTCCCCCTTCATATAAGCACACAGAAAACCTAGTCTGCAGGCACACAGGAAATAAATTTCTTTTATTTGAATTAAGGTTAATAGCATGAAAACCTTATAAAATACTAGCATTACAATTCTAAAATATTGACTATTGATGCAGAGTTGAGAAACCCCAATTAAGTCAGAATTACTTGAATCAGCAAGACTAGAATTGGGAACCAAACAAAAGGCATGAGCCCCTCACCATGAAAGAGCAATTGATTTATGTTCATTCCCCCCCCCCTTCAAATGAGTGAAATGTTTCTAACGTTTCTCACTTTTTAAAGAAAAACAAGACCGCATTCCACAAAATATCCAACTTCATTAACGGATTTGAGAAATCAAACAACCAAAATACATTGCAACTATTATTTAAACTCAAACCAAAATAATTTTAGCAACATCTGACAGAACTACATCAAAAACAAACAACTGCTATTTTTTAAAGAAGCATGTCTGGGATAGAAGCGATGTGGACATATTATCTAAACCTAAATAATACAGGAAAGTGTTTGGTTCACATTTGAACATACTGAAAGTATTAGTGTGAAAAACAGCTTTCGCTGTGAACACGACTTGTTTTACTAAGCTATAAATGTGTTTTTATTAAGACGGGCCACTTCAAGGTTTTATCTTTATAACAAGAGACATAATAAGCATATTATCTCAACATAGGGAATGGGGAGTAGTGATGTACCAGTCTGGTATACAAGGCTGGTCTGTCTCAAAGGAGGTTACGGAAATAGTAATATGCAAACCCCCCCCCCCATATTAACCAGTTTAATTGTGTTGCATTGGGGTAAGGAAAATCACCTATAAAGCCTTTTCCAACTGCTCTTGAACAAGCTGAAATGGGTGGAGAAGTGGGAATATTTTCCACAGTGGACTGGCAATGAGAGTTTTCAGAGCTACAATTCCCTTTAATTAAAAGCTCTCTCTTTGCAGATTCAGGCCCTTCTATTGCTTCCTGTAAAGGTAAAGGTAAAGGGACCCCTGACCATTAGGTCCAGTCGTGACCAACTGGCGAACCAGAGCAGTGCACGGAAACGCCGTTTACCTTCCCGCTGGAGCGGTACCTATTTATCTACTTGCACTTTGACGTGCTTTCGAACTGCTAGGTTGGCAGGAGCAGGGACCGAGCAACCGGAGCTCACCCCGTCGCGGGGATTCGAACCGCCGACCTTGTGATCGGCAAGTCCTAGGCTCTGTGGTTTAACCCACAGCGCCACCCGCGTCCCTGGGATTGCTTCCTGTGGAACATGGCGATGGAATTACTTACAAATAAACCCTTAATTCATCGATTTATGAACTATGATCTCCTCCCATCTCTTTCTTTTTAGTTGTGCTACAGTGAAATAAGTTTATAATATATAGCCAAATTTTTGCTTTATAAGCAATGAAAGGAGGAAAAATGAGAGGAAGTCAGTAACTGAAGGATGCACAGGAATATGTATTGTGAGAGCAAGAACTGATATCAGGGACAAATAAGAATCGCTATTCAAGGGACAATAAGCAGGCTGTTCATCAGTAATGACGCCGTACTATGCAACAGGAAGCAACAAAAGGGGCAGAACAAACAAGCAGGAAGATTTTAATTCACATTGGAAGGGCTCTTTAAAGGTAAAGGTACCCCTGCCCGTATGGGCCAGTCTTGCCAGACTATAGGGTTGTGTGCTCAAGGGCTCTTTACTGAGTGAGAATACAGTGGTACCTCGGGTTAAGTACGTAATTCGTTCTGGAGGTCCGTTCTTAACTTGAAACTGTTCTTAACCTGAAGCACCACTTTAGCTAATGGGGCCTCCCGCTGCCGCCACACGATTTCTGTTCTCATCCTGAGGTAAAGTTCTTAATCTGAGGTACTATTTCTGTGTTAGCAGAGTCTGTAACCTGAAGCGTATGTAACCTGAAGCGTATGTAACCCGAGGTACCACTGTAACTTGACTAAACGTAAGAGGTGATTTTTACATTGGCAAGGAGCAGGGCTTTTTTTCAGCCAGAACTCAGTTCCAGCACTTCTCTGATGGGCACCATTGCCATTCTAAGAGAACAAGGGAGGTGTTCATGGTGAGTCCCGGCACCTCTTTTTCTAGAAAAATAACACTGGCGAGGAGCATTGCATTAAGTGCTATGAAGAATCACTGGTTTAATCTATTTTTAGAAGAACGTGAAATAGCAGTGCCCATGGAATCGGAAACTCAAGGCTACAAACTGATGAGCCCTGCCACAAATTAAGTTCTGATCCCACAGCCAGGGGCATAAACAACACAAACATACCACACATTATCAAGATAATTTTATAATAAGCGTCCCAGGGACTGACATCTTAGCAAACACTCCTGGGCAGCAGTGAGTTTGTCTTGGTGGCTCATTCCTTCGGGATAAACCTCAAGGATTGGCCCAGGTGTTGCCTCAGCCAGTCCTGCACACCAAAGAGACTAATGTAGAAATCTCGTGGTTTATGGTTCGCTGGAGGGGGATCCCGAACTGTTTCCCGTGTCTCCCCATCTTTCTTCTTCTTCCTCTTCTTTTCACAAGGGTTATACGTGCCCCAGCTGATCACGCCCACCTGATCAGGAGAGGGAAGCAAACTGGGTCAAAAGACAGAACGGCAAATATGCAATTCACAGTGGCAAAGATACAAAAGCTTATTGCGACCCAAAACGCTACAGCAGCCCCCTATGAAAGGGGCGGGCAGGAAGTAGGCTGGGATCTATTTCTTGGTAGATCTCTGGATCTTGCTTAAATCAATTGGGGCAGGGCGAAGGGATGTGAAAAGCTTATGCAATGGATTGTGTGTCAGATTTTTAAAACCACTGTCCCACACTAGATCTCAAGAAAAACGGCAGGGTCGGGATACATTTAGAGGTTCACTTACTTGGAAGAGTCTCTCCCTCCGTTCCACGAATAATGATCCTCCGGATTCACCTGAAAAAAAGGACGAAAGGATTAAAAGCTGACAGAAGCTCCACTATCTCTAGACAGAAGAGAAAGTTCACATTTCTTCAAATATGGGTTGCCATATTTCGCAAAGCCAAAGTTGTAAAAGTTTTGTTGAGCTTTCCCCCCTCCCCAGAAATGAAGTTTTTGAGCTATTCTTAAGGAAATTTGCCAAAATCCACACTTCCAACATGGGGTGCCATATGTCCAGATTTTCCCGGACATCAAAGCAATTTCTGCCGAGACACTGTCTCCAACAGCCAAATCCCAGCTATGTCTGGGAAATTTTGGATGCATAGCAACCCTAAAGGACCCCTGACCATTAGGTCCAGTCATGACCGACTCTGGGGTTGTGGCGCTCATCTCGCTTTACTGGCCGAGGGAGCCGGCGTACAGCTTCCGGATCATGTGGCCAGCATGACTAAGCCGCTTCTGGTGAACCAGAGCAGCGCACGGAAATGCCATTTACCTCCTCGCCGGAGTGGTACCTATTTATCTACTTGCACTTTGATGTGCTTTCGAACTTCTAGGTTGGCAGGAGCTGGGACCGAGCAACGGGAGCTCACCCCGTCGCGGGGATTCGAACCGCCGACATTCTGATCTGCAAGTCCTAGGCTCTGTCGTTTAACCCACAGCACCACCCGCGTCCCTGGTTGCAACCCTACTCAACCACAAAAACACCACAGACCACCTGAATGAAGCTCACTGGCAGTTTGTGGGACACGATTTGGGAATCTCTGCTTTGAATGGAAGTTGTCACAATGCCAGCTGCTGGATTCTATATTGGAAAGGGAATCCTGCACTTACAAAGGATGCACATATCCAAGGTTGCCAGCTTCATTAAGATCAGGGGAACCTTTTTTACCCTGAGAGCCACATTCCCTCTTGGGCAACCTTTTGGGTTGGGAACACGTCAGTGGTAAACAGGGCCAGAGGGAAAAGAGGGTGGAGCAACAGATGCAAATTTTAACCTTTGTACATTGGGATAGCTTCTAAACATTCTTGCTCCCTATAGTGCCAACTGTAGGGAGCCAAGGTGTCTTGGGCCCCTTGATATTTGTTTGAAGAGGCCCTCAATGTTGAGGGGGTCCAGTGCGCACAAAGGACATGACGTCGCAGAAGGCTGCCCTGGCCTGTGCAGTGTGGAAGACGCCATGGGGACTGGTGCGGCCTAGCAGAAAGCTAAGCTGGCCTGCGCCCCACGCCCACTCAATATTAGGGGCTACCTGGCGCCTCTGCTCTTACACAACACTTTTTCCTCCATCCAGACAAACAAAAGTTCAAGGACACTTTCCAGTCAGGCAAAAGCTCTTAAGTAGGGTGGGAAACCGGTGGCCCAGGGGTGCCAGACAGAGAGGCTTGGAGGACCACATTTGGACTGAGGTTTCCAGTCCCCGATTCAGATGAAGGAGCTTATTGAAAACTTCTCTTAAGGGCTCCCCACATTTCTGCTCGTCCTGTGTCTTCTGCAGAAAACCTGATGGACATTTGTTATGATTCTGTGGGGTAAACAGCGGGTTATCCCAGGGAAAGGAGTGAGGCAAAAGAGAAACCTCGTACCCGGAAGAAGCAGAAGTGTGGACGAGGCCTTACTCTCTCCCTGCTCTGCTTAACCAGGGATGCTTCACCCTCCCCATGTAGAGAAGAAGAAGAAGAAGAGTTTGGATTTGATATCCCGCCTTATCGCTACCCGAATGAGTCTCAAAGCGGCTAACAATCTCCTTTCCCTTCCTCCCCCACAACAAACACTCTGTGAGGTGAGTGAGGCTCAGAGACTTCAGAGAAGTGTGACTGGCCCAAGGTCACCCAGCAGCTGCATGTGGAGGAGCAGGGAAGCAAACCCAATTCACCAGATTACGAGACTACCGCTCTGAACCACTACACCACACTGTAAGCAAAATGACCTTTGCAAGTGGCAGCCTCGACAGCTCTCCCTCCTCCACTACACAGGAATCTGTCTGTCACCACTTCAGAGGCATCAGTTCCTTCGGAAAACATTTTCTTGTCTTGAAGAGCTGCGGAAATGCACGTTGGGCGCTGTGGGAAGCAATGAATGAATCGATTTAATGGCGGAATTGCTACCCAGGCCATAATAGTTCACTTCCGGTGCTTTGAAAATCTGCATGCAATCAGCAAAGAGACAATGAATTGTCTCGTCTTCCTTTGAGACAGGTCTTATCTGAAGTACTGTGGATGAATTAATCCAGATTAAATCCATACACAGACATTATTAAATTAGTTCATAGTAATGCTGTACTTTTTACGATCCTTCATGGATCACTGCCTTGCCGTGGCGAAGGGGCTTGAATAACTCAGAGAAGCTATGAGCTATGCCGTGCAGGGCCACCCAAGATGGACAGGTCATAGTGGAGAGTTTTGACCAAACGTGATCCACCTAGAGTAGGAACCAGCAAGCCACTCCAGTATCCCTGCCTATGGTTTTCCCAGTAGTGATGTATGGAAGTGAGAGCTGGGCCATAAAGAAGGCTGATTGCCGAAGAATGGATGCTTTTGAATTATGGTGCTGGAGGAGACTCTTGAGAGTCCCATGGACTGCAAGAAGATCAAACCTATCCATTCTGAAGGAAATCAGCCCTGAGTGCTCCCTGGAAGGACAGATCCTGAAGCTGAGGCTCCAATACTTTGGCCACCTCATGAGAAGAGAAGACTCTCTGGAAAAGACCCTGATGTTGGGAAAGATGGAGGGCACAAGGAGAAGGGGATGACAGAGGATAAGATGGTTGGACAGTGTTCTCGAAGCTACCAGCATGAGTTTGACCAAACTGTTGGAGGCAGTGGAAGACATAAGTGCCTGGCGTGCTCTGGTCCAGGGGATCATGAAGAGTCGGACACGACTAAACGACTAAACAACAACAAATGCTGTACTTTCTTGGGCTGATCTTAAAGCATTCTTGCTAGGGATTTCCCTCCAGTTGAAAGCTGAGATTTTCCATTGGTTTTCTGATAATTAAGACTGAACATTTTCATGCTCTACGGCACAGTGTGTTCACTTTCTATTCCCATATGCTTGCTCAATTTTACTCTTCCCAAAAGAGGTTCTGATTCAGAATTTCTTTCTGCCCCCATTTCATAATTCTACTTCTTTGTATAAACCATACCTGATCTGAATTCAGCCTCCCGGCAACATCTGCTTTGGACAGAAAGAAAAACCCCCTCTCACTACTTCCCTGCCAGCAATGATTGCTGTAGTATCACACAGAGAGGCTGCGCAGCAGGAAGCAAACACTTCTATGCTTCTTTCTTTATTTCTTTGCCATGGAAAGTCAAACTTGAAACGGTCCCAGATAACAGCCTCCCATGTTTGTAGTTTTTGACATTCTAATCATCATCTTTGGTGCCTAGGCTGAAATAATAAAAACCTACCTAGGATACAATCCATAAAACTTATGCAGAAATGTAGAATTTCCAAAAACATGAATATGGTGCATACACAGCCTCAGTTTTAGGAGAAAAAAATGCTCTTGGCAGACAGATTGCACTGCTGGACCTAATGCCTGAAGAAGTCCGGTATGATGCAATGTTTGAAAGTTTTCTTTGAGAAACATCAAGTTCTAAGAGTGTTGCAATACTGCCATCACTAACAGCTGTGAAACTTGGCTCTCGACAGAGTCGAAGCAGTGTGAACTGCCTGTGACCATATCAATCTTGAAATATTGCTTTTAGAAGTATACTTCAAGAGTGTTTTTGTTTTTTGTTTCAGGCTTTTAAAAAACACACCCAGACCCTCAGAAGTAATGCACCTCCCCCCAGCTCACACTTCCCATCTTCAATTGGCTTTCCCATCTCCATTTTTTACCCAGAATTCCATGGGCAGGAAATGCCATGCTTACACTTCTCCTTGTCTTGATCTGAACTCCCATCCTCTTGTTGTCCAAGGATATGAACTGGGCATCCACTTCTTCCAAACTCAGCAACTGCAGCTCTGCAAGATATGAAGGTTTGTGTGACTGTGTGCTTGAAAATGTCTGAGTTTTCTGCCTGGGGAGCGAGGCCCAGCCACCTACTTGGTTACAGGAGGGAAAGGTGACCTAGAATCAAATTACCGTATTTTTCGCTCTATAGGGCACACCTGACCATAGGACACACCTAGTTTTAGAAGGGGAGAACAAGAAAAAAAATTCTCTCCCTCTCTGCGCAGCGCCCCTTCAGCGAAGCGGCAGGAAAAACGGAGCTCCTTCCATTTCTCCTCCCGCTTTGCTGAAGGGGCGCTGCGCAGAGATGGAAAGCTGCGCAGCGGCTCTCCAGTGAAGCAAAGCCAGGAGAGCAAGAGGGATCGGTGCGCACCGACCCCTCTCGCTCTCCAGGCTTTAGCAAATCCAACGGGAAGCCTCCGGAGCGCGGCGGGAGTGCTCCCACTGTACTTTGGAGGCTTCGTGTTGCTATCGCTGAAGCCATGGAGCCTGCATTCGCTCCATAAGACGCACACACATTTCCCCTTAATTTCTGGAGGGGGAAAAGTGCGTCCTATAGAGCGGAAAATACGGTATATGGCAGAGATCAAGTGGGTCATGCGCATTGTTAGGCAAGAGAGCAACTCCTGGGATCCAAGGACAGGCAATGGGACGTAACACCAGCGTTATCAAAGGCCACGTCTGCACCACAGATATAAAGCGGTATTATACCAACACTCGTGGCTTTCCTCAAAGAATATTGGGAAATGTAGTTATGCTGAAAGTAGTTAGGGGACCCCTATCACCCCCCCCCCATTCCTAGAGTGGTTTAGCAATTAGTCCTTTTTCCCAGGGAACTCTGGGACTTTTCAATGCATTCACGCGCGCCCCCCACTTTCCAAACTGCAAAACCTCCCAATTCTTTTTACAAAGGGGATTGCTTGCAACAGATCCTTTTAAGTGACTTTCAGTGTAATTGCAGAAACCTTAACTTCCCTAGTATGTGCAAGAATCTTTCCTGTACAATACTGATGCTTTTGAGCCACTCTGAAAAGGAAGGGGCTCAGTGGAAGAGAATGTGTTTTGAGTGCAGAAGGTCACAGGTTCAATCCCCGGTGACTCCAGCTAGAGCTGGGGAAGACTTCGAAACCCTAAAGAGACACTGCCAGTCAGGGTTGACAGTGCTGAGCAAGAGGGACTAATGGTCTGACTCTGTGTAAGGCAGAGTTCCGACACAAAAGGAAAAGGGATCACGGCGGAGGAGGAAAAACGCAGCATCAAGTAGGGCTGGGCAAATATCTATTTCAGTTGCTCCCAATTCCTCATTTTTTCCCCAATCTTAAGTTTGGTTCTCCACATTAGTTAGCGATATTTGAAGTCCTTGTGAAAATTCCTGAGTTTTGGTGCAAATTCACCCATTTTTTTGTATGCAGTTATTTCTAATATACACATTTTCACAAAGCAATTTCCCCTGATCTAACGCATTTTTTGTATGCCATTTTCACCAACATATGCATTTATATGCACACGCTTCACCCTAGCATATTAACGCTTGTACACACGACTTGTCCGTAGAACTGCATTTGCAAAATCCAGAGAAGCGCAAATTTTGAAGCGTAGCTGTGCTTGGTTCACGTATTGCTGCCCGTTAAGTCGGTTTGCCTTTAAGTGCAAACGGAATTGAAATTCTCCCCCACCCGCAATCTCAGGTATCATCTCTAAGTCCTTCTAATGAACAGGTGAGAAATGGAAACAATGGCGGAATACAAGCAAAGAGCCAAAGTCGTCATAGCATGGCTCCCATAAGGTGACAGCTGGTGGAAGGAGGAACTTGACTTACCAGCAGAGGAGATCACAGCCTCTTCCTCATTTCTGTTTTTGCAAAACTGGGCGTGGTTGTTCATTGTTTGATGGTTTCATGGGAACAGATTGAAACCAAATCCTTCAAAGACAGAGGTCCTCTGGCTGGGTCAAGATGGCATGGGGATGAGGGACCAACTCCCTTCTCTTGCGGGGGCCCAATTAGTGTCAGTGCCTTCTGTTAAGAGTTTGGGTGTAATCCTTGACGCCTCCCTTTCCATGGAGGCGCAAGTTACAGCAACAGTCAAGGCGACATTTTTCCACCTTCGCCGCATTAAGCAGTTGGTCCCTTCCCTTTCCTGCCCTGACCTTGCCACAGTGATCCATGTGACGGGCGCCTCCAGGCTTGACTACTGTAATTCGCTCTACATGGGGCTGCCCTTGAAACTGTCCCACAAACTCCAGCGGGTGCAGATTGCTGCAGCGAGGCTCCTCACGGGGTCCCTGCCATGGGAGCATATTCAACCAGTACTTTACCAGTCGCACTGGTTCCCGGTGGAGTATCAGGTCAGGTTCAAGGTGCTGGTCTTGACCTTTAAAGCCCTTTGTGGCTTAGGGCCCTCGTATCTACAGGACCGCTTCTCCTGGTATGCCCCGCAGAGGACCTTAAGGTCCATGAATAACCATAGTTTAGAGGTCCCGGTCCCTAAGGAAGTCAGACTACCCTCCACCAGGGCCAGGGCCTTTTCAGTGATGGCCCCGACCTGGTGGAATGCTCTGTCCCATGAGACTAGGGCCCTTCAGGATTTAACCTCCTTCCGCCGTAAGACAGAGCTATTCCGCCTGGCCTTTAATTTGAATTCAGCCTGATCTTTTATTTCCCTTCCCTTCCTTCCCCCTCCCCTTTTATGAAGATCACCCGCTCTGAGACCCCACAACTAATTCTCCCCTGGCCTCCTCGCTGGCCCAAGTAGGACCAATTCAGCCAGCTAGCCCTGGGGATTATCTAATTGATTTTTGAATTTTATTGTTATTCATGTTTTCATAAAGTATTTTATGCTGCTTTTATAATTAAGTGTTTTAAAGTGCTTTAAATTTGTTGCTAGCCCCCCTGAGCCCGGTTTTCTGAACCGGGAAGGGCAGGGTATAAATAAAAATGTATTATATTATTATATTGTTTGTGTGGTTGGGAGGAGCTGGGTTGTCAACCTGTGTCAATAGCTGCTTCCTCCATGGTTCAGTTCTCCTAGTAGTAGTAGTAGTAGTAGTAGTAATAATAATAATAATAATAATAATAATAATAATAATAATAATAATTTTTATTTATACCCCGCCCTCCCCAGCCAAGGCCGGGCTCAGGCTGGCTAACAAGCAATAATAAAAACAAGTTGAATGAATACAACTTAAAAACAAGATTAAAATACAACATTAAAATATTGAAACATTAAAATATTAAAATGCGGCCTCATCACAAGAGGAGAAAGGAAAAAGAAAGAGGGGGAGGGAATCAAATTGGCTCCAAGCCAAAGGCCAAGCGGAACAACTCTGTCTTACAATCCCTGCGGAAAGAAATCAGATCCTGCAGGGCCCTGGTCTCATGAAACAGAGCGTTCCACCAGGCCGGAGCCAGTGTTGAAAAGGCCCTGGCTCTGGTTGAAGCTAATCTAACTTCCTTAGGGCCCGGGACCACTAGGGTGTTGCTATTTATGGACCTTGAGGCTCTCCGTGGGACATACCGGGAGAGGTAGTCCCGTAGGTACGAGGGTCCTAGGCCGTGAAGGGCTTTAAAGGTCAAGACCAGCACCTTGAACCTGACCCTGTACTCCACCGGGAGCCAGTGCAGCTGGAAAAGCACTGGGTGAATATGCTCCCATGGCAGAGACCCCGCGAGGAGCCTCGCTGCAGCATTCTGCACCCGCTGGAGTTTGTGGGACAGTTTCAAGGGCAGCCCTGCGTAGAGCGAATTACAGTAGTCAAGCCTGGAGGTGACCGTCGCATGGATCACCGTGGCCAGATCGGGGCAGGAAAGGTAAGGGACCAACTAGTAAGGAGATAAGACGGCTCGCTAGATCTGGCCAATGGCCCACCTAGTGCAGCATCCTGTTCTCACAGTGGCAAGCCTTACCTCTGAGCCTTGACCCTTCCCCCAAATGGGCAGCCGCTGGGGGAGACACTCACCGTGGTCCTTGCATGTGGCACCTGGCTTCATCTTCAGGGCTCTGTTGGCACCTTCCGTGCAAGGAAGACAGATTGGCCTGCAGAGAAGACAAATATTTGCCGCCGACTTGAGAGCTTGAACCCTCAAAACAGATGTGGAAGGGGGAGAGGGGGACTGGAAGGACCCCCAGCAAGGATAACATCAAAACGGTGGAGATGGCATGGTCCTCCCGGTCTACTTTGCTTCCCCCATGACCGGCCAAAGCAGAAATAGGGAAAATAGCATCCAGTGGCCAATTTCTGGCAGACTGCTCAGCACTTTTTATAGGATGGGATCCTTGCTGGACTTTAGAATGATTTGGCCACACACTTGGGTTCTTGAGCGGCTGGGGAAACCCAGCCAGATGGGTGGGGTATAAATCATCATCATCTTCCAGGAGAGCATCAACTTGTAATAATCACTCAGTGTAAACTCTTGCTTTTTAAATGCAGGCTACAGTACTGGTTCACGGAGACTGTGATCCCCACAAAATTGAGAGCCCGTGTTATGTACTGAAGTTCTCACCCTGGGCCAGCAGGGGGATACTGTAGATAGTTATGCAAATGAAGGATTGAAAAGTGACATTCAGTGATTGGATAGTTTTGTATGCAAATGAAGGATCGAAACGTGACGTTCAGTGATTGGATAGTTTTAGAAAATGGCAACAGTTGCATTGTTCTGGAGCTCTATATAAGCAGGCTGACTGAACTCCTCAGCCTAGTTCTGTTCTGGCATCTGAATAAAGAAGAGCTGTTTAAAGAATCGCTGTGTCGTCTGACATGTTCGCCCACAACTTAACACTAAGCATGCCTTAGGTCACACCCACAGCACTCTTATGCCACAGCCATGGCTTCCCTCAAAGGACCCTGGGAATTGTAGCTTCTTAAGGGTGCTGAGATTGGGATGCGGGTGGCGCTGTGGGTTAAACTACAGAGCCTAGGACTTGCCGATCAGAAGGTCAGCGGTTCAAATCCCTGCAACGGGGTGAGCTCCCATTGCTCGGTCCCAGCTCCTGCCCACCTAGCAGTTCGAAAGCACCTCAAAGTGCAAGTAGATAAATAGGCACCACTCCGACGCGAAGGTAAACGGCGTTTCCGTGTGCTGCTCTGGTTCGCCAGAAGCGGCTTAGTCATGCTGGCCCCATGACCTGGAAGATGTACGCCGCCTCCCTCGGCCAGTAAAGCGAGATGAGCGCCGCAACCCCAGAGTCGGCCACGACTGGACCAAATGGTCAGGGGTCCCTTTACCTTTAAGGGTGCTGAGATCACAGAGCTACAATTCCCGGCGCCCTTCACAAACTACAATGCCCAGAATTCTCCATGACTGTTAAAACTGCACAAAGACCGCTTTACATCTATGGTGTGGGTGTGATCTTAGAGGACAACAGAACTGCATCTCTTCCTTCTATAGTCCCTCTTTGCTGAAGGTTCTTAAGCAAAGGCTGGATGGCCGCCTAGCAGGAATGCTGTCGTACTGATCATCCCGCAGAGGGTATGACTAGATGGCCTTTGGGGGTCCCCTACAACTCTGATTCCCGCTTTTAATACTGTTTGCGCCTGAAGTGGTTTTTGGGTGGTCACACTGTTTTGTTTCCAATCAGTAACGGAGCCCTTCGTCTGCCTGATCTGCCCTGATACGGCACATTACCTGATCCTCCCGCCAAACTGCACGGGTTTCTCCAGCTCGAGTAAGGAGAGATCATAGTCGTAGAATTCCTGGATCCCCTGAGCCACCTTGGCTTTCACGTTGAACAATTCGTGGTCGATCCGCCTCTTTATTCGCAGTTTGGTCCCTCCTCTAGCTAGGGAGAGAAGAGTGAAACATCTTCAGTGCCTATCTTCACCCCAAAGCACGCCCCTCTTCCCCAACGCCATGGCTGGAGAGTATTGGGTGAGATTCCGTAGCCTTGAATTTGAATATGAGCAAACTCCATTTCCCATCCCCACCCCCTCTTTGCTATTGTGTTTTCTTTATAGAGCGTTGTAATAAATCATCCCCACAGATTGGAGACAAGCCTGCCTGTCTTTCTCAGGGAGCACTTTGAGCCCCGGATTGCTCTTGACCTGATGTGAACTGAATCCAGAGCTTTCTTGATCCAATCTGGATCTGTCTCAAATCTTCCTGAAGTGGTTCAGGTTTCGACCAGATCAGTTGTCCTCTAGTTACCACGCCTTGCTACCAACAGAGCAATCGATGGGACTTTCTTCTGGGTATAGGATCACAGCTGTAGCACGCATAACAGAAACAACCACATATTCTTACCCCATTTACCTCCTCTACTATTTCCCCTTTGCTTCTGTTGAGTTTTAGATTCAAAGTCCGCTGAGTACTATCCTCTTGTATTCCTAAAGAACCATGAATGTGGACAGTCGTCTATCTGATGTAAGAATCAGAGACCCAGGGTGTAGATTTTGATTTGATTACGTTTCGAATATGAATTGCATTTAACCTGTTGGAACGATAGAACGCTTCGCTGAGTAGTTTTATGTCTAGTTCCTCTGTGACTATACCTTACAACTGCTGTGCTCTCTAGGCCATAAACAAGAAATCCTATCTAACCTTGAAAGTGGTACAAACAGCTGTTGCTAATGTTTTTCCAAGCTTGTTTTCGTTAACATTGGAATGTGAGCCCAATCTCTTTTTGAGACTTCCTGTAGGCTCAGGGACAAATGGAAGAGGTGAAGGAGTGTGAGAGAGAATGGAAACGAGGTCTGATCACACGCTTGGTTACCACGGCAACATGTGTCATCCGTGACCAAAGATGGTCAAATGACCTAGGCACTTGTGGGAATCCCAAGGTAATTGGGGGGAGGGAGTTGACAGCAGGAAGATGCCATACATGTTTTCTACCTAATGACCTGTGGCCTTTCTTGACAGACAAAAAGGGAGTGCTTTATGTTTAAGAATGTTTCATGACAAACTTTGTGTGCTATACAGTGGTACCTCAGGTTAAGTACTTAATTCGTTCCGGAGGTCCGTTCTTAACCTGAAACTGTTCTTAACCTGAAGCACCACTTTAGCTAATGGGGCCTCCTGCTGTCGCTGCGCTGCTGCTGCACGATTTCTGTTCTCATCCTGAAGCAAAGTTATTAACCTGAGGTACTATTTCTGGGTTAGCGGAGTCTGTAACCTGAAGCGTATGTAACCTGAAGTGTATGTAACCCGAAGTACCACTGTATACGCTTTTGCTCTTCTTAACTGGCACACGAGCTGAGCTTTATTTTCTTGCAATAGAAATAAACATTGGGTCCCTAAACGGATGCTGGACTTGAAAATACGTTCCTTGGTTCCATGGATTATTTAAAAGGTGGTTTCTCGCCTGGGTAACAGGCAAGGTGGTGTCGAATTTGAATTCTTGGTGCAAAACTAACCAGAAGAATACAAAATCAAAGTGATTGAGTTTTTAAGAAAGAATGATTTCTTAAAATCATTTATAGAAATGATTTCTTGAAATCATTTATATTTCCAGTCATTTACAGAGTATGTACAAAATTATTGTAAACAAATTAATACGTTAGCAGGCTTAATATGAAAACATGCAGTGGTTAAAAAGAATCTATACAGAACATAGGGGATAAATAATAAATTGGTTTAATTTGGAAATGCAGTAAAATATTATGAGAATCAGGAACCGCAGAAAAAAGGGGAAGGGAGTCGAAATAAGATATATATGATCAGCTGTTCGCTTTTCAAGTTTTTTGAATTTTTGTATGTTGTAAAATTAATTATAAAAGTAAAATCGAATTCTTACCACATATCTAGCTACACACACACACACACACATATATACATTAGGGGCAGCCGCACCTGCTTGCTACCCTTGCACGCTGAAAGCAACCATACTCTCATAGGCTGAGTTTTGATTTCTTCTGTACAAGCCAAGGGGGTCTTCTTTGCTTTACACAGCCAGCCAATTGCATTTTTGCTGCCTGAGACTGAGACCTGAGGCAGGTAGGAGTGCCTCTCCTCCTCCTTGGCAGCAAAAGTACAACAATAATTAATTAAATACCTAGCAAACTGCTGCCCTTTGACGCCACCCCAAATCAGCTGCCCCAAACGGCTCACTCACTCTGCCCTTTAATGGAAGGGCCGGCCCTGTCTCCAGAGAAGAAGAAGAAGAAGAAGAGTTTGGATTTGATATCCCGCTTTATCACTACCCGAAGGAGTCTCAAAGCGGCTCACATTCTCCTTTCCCTTCCTCCCCCACAACAAACACTCTGTGAGGTGAGTGGGGCTGAGAGACTTCAGAGAAGTGGGACTAGCCCAAGGTCACCCAGCAGCTGCATGTGGAGGAGTGGGGAAGCGAATCCAGTTCACCAGATTACGAGTCTACCGCTCTTAACCACTACACCACAATGGCTCCCCTAGAGCAGAAATGCAGAGTTAAAAACACGTTCTGCTTTTCCTTTTGCACCTTTTTCCAGAATGACGGTCCATCCTGCTGTGTTGTTGAATTTGCTGAAGCAGTGAGCGGACGTTAAGACCCATGTCTTTGAAATCAGGGCGCCCCGACAAGAAGGTTCTGTCAGTGTCTACAATGAAGAGTGGATAAGGTTGGTTTCATCCAGGTCAGACACTCCCAGCGTTAGGGATTAACAATATCATAAAGGTGTGTGTGTGTGGACAGAGAGCAGCCTCTACTCACGTTGTATTGGAGGAGCACGTGCCATGGGTTCTTCTGCTCCCAGCTAGCGCTGTCAGAGTTGTTCGCCAAGCCACATATATCATGAAGATCTCTGGGATCTGAGAGCATTGGAAAGGGAAGGAGAAAGAAAACCCAGTCATTTTCAACATGCTCACCTCATTTTCTTACTCTGCTTTTTCAGACTTTCTCATAATAGCATAGGAAACTGTGGGGTGTAACATTAGCAGTCAAATACAACATTTCCTGTTTGCCTAGAGTGGACACGCAGGGGAATGTTGGTCCAGCCACTTGAACTTCCTGTTACACCTGGTCTGGAGCATCCTTCCTTTGCGTGTGACCAGGTAGGTGGCCGTGACCCTTCCAGACCCCACAAAAGGTCCAGTCACGCAGCCACCTTCCTCTTTTGATGCCTTTTCTCCTCATGGACTGCACTGCTGCCTCTCAGTCAGCAGCACATGGGCCCATCCTTACGAGGACCTAAGCCACACTGTCTCTGTAACTATAAGCTAAAGTCTGCCTTCAGGGATCCAACTGTGAACTGAATGTGAGTAAACGTCTTATTACTTTTAAAAGAAGACTGTTGTGTCTTTATTCTCTTAGGAGGGATCTTACCATGGGTCTTACCAGGAATAATAGAACTTAAGAGATTCTAACTAATCTGCAACTAGCTTCCTGCTGTGTAAAAAGGGAAATGTAGTCTATGAATAAACTCACTAACGTGAGTTAGGAAACATAATATTTAATCAATATATCCTCTCCTGCTACCTACAACATTCCCACAGAAACTACTTAAACCAAGCAACAGCACCAGGTCCATTTAGTTCAGTAATGTCCACACCAGGGTTGAGTGAACCTTTCTGGATTAAATCTGGCAGGTGGATGGGGCCGGCCACCTGTCAATCACCTGAAGTCAGCAGAAAGGAGCTTTGAAATCCTGCAGTTGGGACTTCAAAGCACCTGGCAAGGTGCTGCTAAAACAAAGGTGTCCCCCCCCTCCTCCATTTTAGCAGGCAATTCCAGGTAAAGTCCTTCCACCAGGAAGGGGTGTGAATGGAATCCAGCCAAACTGAGCAGGATTTAACCCCTGCTCATTGGTTGCTCAAGGATGTCACATGCCGGCACTGGGCCTGACTGGAAGTGGCAATCCAGGAATACAGAAGCTGGCTACTTTTGGGTTACAATGGGTGATGTCCCATTGTTTTATACCAGGAGGAGAACGGGTTCTTTAGATGTGGAAGCTAGGAAGTGTGCATATCTTCAGCATGAGGTCCAGGAGGTAAGAACTGGGGTTTGCAGTAGCCTTTGGAAACAAGTTTGACCACTGGGCATGCTCATCGAACACAGCATGCTTCCTCACTCTGCCCTTCCTCTTTCGATGGTCGTACCTTTGTTTAGTGTTTAAAGCCTGCAGACCCGGCATCCCCAGTCTCCCACCTAAGTATTAACCAGGCCTGACCCTGTTTCGCTTCCAAGGTTTGACCCCGTCTTTGTTGAGTGCCAGAGAACATACACACCCAGGACATCTTCAAAGGCTGCCTTCAGTTCCTTAAGGTCATTCAACTTGAAGGCGTGCCTCTCGCCCGGTTTTTTGGATGCTATCTCATTCATGGCGCTCCAATCTACGTCAACCGTTCCAACTCCAAATGCATAGATATCTGAACGAAAGAAGGAAAAGAGACAGAAAGCATTGCTGGACATCCTGGAAGCAAAGTCCAAAATCCCATCACCGGTGGAGCTTAACTCTCAAAAATTCATGCCACCAGCCAGGAGTTGTTTTTGTGTTTTAAACTGTTTTTAATTAGCGCAGATGATGGCTCAGTTGGTTAGTGCGTGGTGCTGATAATGCCAAGGTTGCAGGTTCGATCCCCAGCTGGGGCAGCTGCATATTCCTGCATTGCAGGGGGTTGGACTTGATAATCTTCAGGGTCCCTTCCAACTCTACAAATCTATGATTCTATGATTTTATTTGTAATACGCCTTGAGATGGTGATTCAGAAGGCGATTCATAAGTATCGAATTGAATTTTATTATTAAGTTCACAGACCAGTTCCGGCTCACTTACAATATCAGGAAAATCATAAAACACAACAGGAATACATTGAATTGCAATTGGGTATAACAGAGACAATTCAGATATAGGCGCAATTAAAAATAGATATTAAACCTTGATCACTAAAATATAACCTAAAATTATCATTTAAAACCTAAATCATTTTGGTAGTACAGCTTGTTCCCTAAGTTTTATGGCAGTCGCACAGAATTTGGCCACCCTTTGCGTGATCTCTAGATCCTTGTCCTTATAAGTTAATTGTAACTACGTATAATGTGCCAACTGGCCTTCCAAGTATTGTTAAACCTGGGCATCAAGCTGTGGTGCAGTTAGGCCGTTTTAGACTCTGGACTTAGCAGTCTTCTGCTCTCTGCTGCCTTTACGACAATGTTTATCATTGAGGCTGCAATGGGCAACATACTTGAGCTCATTCTGTTGAGTGAAGCCCCTTGGACATCGGCCCTAATTTCCCTTCCCTCACGGCGCCACCTCAGACTTCCTTGTTGAGGGGAATTCCAGAGGACCAGGAACCTTCTAGCGGTTCTTTCTAAAGCGTGTTCTCAGGAAACACAGCTGGGTTTCCTCAGAATCTAATCAGGATTCAGGCAGATAAGCTTTCCTGAAAGCATGCCAACCAAAACCGCACGTCAGATTCCTTCCTGCTCAACAACTTATCCCAGGCGCGTCGGCGAGGGCAATTGTGGAAGGGGGGCAATGTTGCATGTGGTGCGGTGTGTTGACATCACTTGTGTGATGTCGGGAGGAGCTGGGCTGGAGCCATACGCAGCAGCAGCACTCTTTCAATGGCTGGTGGCGCCTTCTGCTGCCACCATAAGTGTGGGGCTGTTTTGACCAGGGGTCAGAAACCTTTTTCAGCCATGGGCCGGCCCACCGTCCCTCAGACCATGTGGTGAGCCGGACTATATTTTTTTTGGGGGGGGGAATGTAGGAATTCCTATGCCCCACAAATAACCCAGAGGTGCATTTTAAATAAAAGCATACGTTCTACTTGTGTAAAAACACCAGGCAGGCCCCACAAATAACACAAAGGTGCATTTTAAATACAGTGGTACATCAGGTTACAGATGCTTCAGGTTACAGACGCTTTAGGTTACAGACTCCGCTAACCCAGAAATAGCACCTTGGGTTAAGAACTTTGCTTCAGGATGAGAACAGAAACCGTGCAGTGGTGGCGCGGCGGCAGCGGAAGGCCCCATTAGCTAAAGTGGTGCTTCAGGTTAAGAACGGTTTCAGGTTAAGAACGGACCTCTGGAACAAATTAAGTTCTTAACCCGAGGTACCACGGTAAAAGGACACATTCTACTCATGTAAAAACACACTGATTCCTGGACTGTCCGTGGGCCAGATTGAGAAGGCGATTGGGCCGCATCCGGCCCCCGGCCCTTAGGTTGCCTACACCTGGTTTTGACCTTCCTTCCTCTCAGCGGCAGGAGGAAGAAAAGGAGCTGGTCACTGCAGCCACACTGCGCTTGTCTCTGCACTCAGCCTCCTCCACCCCCTGATTTTTGGGGACAATATGGGAGCCCGGCCCTCTATCCAAAATATTGGGGGCCCCAAAAGGGCTCAGCCTCCATCAGTTGACACCCCGACTTCTCCTCAAAAATATGTAAGGATTCCGTGGGAGATGCAGAGTATACCGGAAGCTGCCCCAGCCAAGCACATTCTTTTCCGATATGAGGAGAATGTGTATTCGTAAGGAATTGGGGCACCATTGTTTTTGGTTTGTAATAAACAAAAATCTGCCCTTATTCCTTTATGGGGGACACAAGAGCCCTTATAGAGTCCTTTGTAGGTTCTCCATCGGTTGGAGAAAATAACAGAGGCCAACTAGAGAATATTGAGAAGCAAAGCAGCTAGTAAGCCTGATCTTTATTGATCTGTTGCAACAGGGTGCTCCCCCCACACGCAGGAGAAGGAGGAGGACCCAGAACAAAGATGTGCCTGGCCTTTATATAGACATTTTTAATTCCCTGCCCTGGAGCTCAAGACCAGCCCTCCATACATCATACATACATCACAGAAGGGGTGTAACCCAAGACCACCGCCCACAAACATCATACTTACCACAGAAAAGGTGGTCTACAACAGAAATTTTAATGTTGTTGTTTTCCTGTTTGCCAGGTTATCTGATAATGCCTTATCTGATTGCTTCTCCTGGTAGTCTGCCCATTCCTTTGAGATGGTGATTACCCAATTCCTGAGACAATGGGAAAGTTCCCTCACCCCCTCCCTCCTTGCAGAGAAAACATTTGGTCAGTCTGGGAGTCAAAATGGTTTCAGGGTGGCCTTCCTGTGCTGCTCCAGACATGTGGTCCACATATCTATGTGTGTGCTTGGTTGGTACATTTTATGAACATTTATTATACAGTGGTACCTCGGGTTAGGTACTTAATTCGTTCCGGAGGTCCCTTCTTAACCTGAAACTATTCTTAACCTGAAGCACCACTTTAGCTAATGGGGCCTCCTGCTGCCGCCGTGCCGATGGAGGATGATTTCTGTTCTCAACCTGAAGCAAAGTTCTTAACCTGAAGCACTTTTTCTGGGTTAGCGGAGTCTATAACCTGAAGCGTATGTAACCTGAGGTACCACTGTATTTAAAATGAGAGTCGTCATAGTGACTTCTTCTTCTTCTTCTTTTTAGCTGCATAAGCACCAAGGTTCACAGCTTGGACATCATAAGTATTAGGAAACCATATTACGGAATGACTCATGCAATGACCCTAACACAAGTCCCATGCAAACAGGGAGTTGCCTGTAGAAAGTTTGTCAACCACTGCATAGCACGATGGGTGTTTTCCTGCGGGTGTATCTTGACACAATATCCTGCACTGGCTCCCAGTGGAGTACAGGGTCAGGTTTAAGGGGCTGGTTTTGACCTTTAAAGCCCTATGCGGCCTAGGACCCTCGTACCTACGGGACCGCCTCTCCTGGTATGCCCCACGGAGGACCTTAAGGTCCACAAATAGCAACACTTTGGAGGTCCCAAGTCACAAGGTGGTTAGATTGGTCTCAACTAGGGCCAGGGCCTTTTCAATACTGGCCCCGACTTGGTGGAACGCTCTGTCACAAGAGACCAGGGCCCTGCGGGACTTGACATCTTTCCACAGGGCCTGCAAGACAGAGCTGTTCCGCCTGGCCTTCGGTTTGGACTCAGTCTGACCCTTATGTTTCCCTCCCCTTATGGTTTTGATCTATGAGTTACTTTTAAAATGAGGCTGCATTTTAAATTGCATTTTAACCTGTATTTTAAATTGGATTCCCCCCCCCTATTATGTTTTTACTGTGATTTTACTGGTGTTAGCCGCCCTGAGCCCGGCTCTGGCTGGGGAGGGCGGGGTATAAATAGAATTTTTTATTATTATTATTATTATTATTATTATTATTATTAATAGTGTATTGGTGGTGAATTTTTTCTGCTTTATGATTAGTTCTGTGTTGCTTCTCCAGTGCATATCTGCAGGGGCTAGAGTGCAATAAAACCAGGACAAAAATGAGGTTGCATACACAGCATACATTTAAAGCACATTTCTACACACACACCACACAAAATGCTGGGAACTGCAGTTTGTTACGGGTGCTGGAAACTATAGCTCTGCAATGGAATAATAGAATCATAGCGCTGGAAGGGACCCCAAGGGTCATCTAGCCCAACCCCCTGCAATGCCGGAATCTCAGCTAAAACATCCATGACAGATGGGCCTCCCACCTCTGCTTAAAAACCTCCAAGGAAGGAGAGTCCACAACCTCTCACTGTTCCACTGCCGAAAGCTCTTACTGTCAGAAAGCATTTGTGTGGAGTAAATTAAGTTCCCAGTGTTCTAGTGTGGGGTGAAACGTGCTTTAAATGGATGGTGTGCAGGCAACTTAAACCAGAACGCTTGCGGAATAAAAGGTTTTGGAATTTGCGCAGGCAGTTACAGGATAGGCACTGATTGGAAAGGGAGCATCGTTGTCATCGTGACATTTGGGTTCTGGAAAAGAGCTTCAGCCTGCCGAGGTCATATCACAAAGGCTGATCTCCTCCGGTGGACCGGGCACCCTCCTTTTAACCAGCACTCAAATAAAGTAGGTTTATGTGACTTACCCAGGTAGTCTTTCCTGTTTGCTCTCACGTTCAAGAAGTCTTCTATGCTGCGCACGGCCTTTGTGGGGGAACCTCCCATATTGGACTTCCCTAAGAGGACAAACAAAACCACACAAACAAAATCAGGTAGCGATTTCCACATTACATGCTGGAGCACACTGGGATGTCACGACGAGAAATCATTAAAAGTCTCCAGTGTGCACTGGCTGAAGCTGTACATTCTAAATAAATGCAGAAAGAAAGCCAGCTGGGCGTAAGGGTTAGACGCAGCGGTTCTCAACCTGTGGGTCCCCAGATGTTGTTGGACTACAACTCCCATCATCCCTGAGCTCTGGCCTTGCTAGCTAGGGGTGATGGGAGTTGTAGTCCAGCTTCTGTGCAACCTTCCTCCTATTATGGGGAGGGAGGGAGGGGGAGTCTCCCCATTTCGCCTCACCGTCTGTGAACAGGATGATGGCATGACGGATTTTGTCCCACGGCACTTTGGTAAACGCCTTCTCATTAATCATCATCTGGTACACGGAGTCGAGGGCATCTTGAATGTTGGTTCCCGTTGCGTTGCCGTGGTCTGCAAGAGGATGGCATTGGCATTGGTTTTTTATTTGTTCTACATCTCTTTCAAAGCTCGGGATGCTTACAAAGCTGAAAGGGTGGGCAGCGCATTGAAACGTAAAATAAATGTAAGATGTTGAAACAGCAGGAGCAAATCAAAGGAGCTGAAACAACAGCAAGGTGAGAGGGGAAAAAATTCCAAAATTTTGGCTAGTCACATCAGAGCCGTCTTTCCCATAGGGGTTGGTGGTGCGTCGTGCCAGGGCGCCGGCCTCTCAGGGGCGCCCCAGCGAGTGGGGGAGCTGTGCAGCTTTGCCGGTGGCCTCCCCTTTCCCTGCACACCCGCCAGCTGTGCCTCGCCAACCATACAGCTGGCGGGCACGAAGCTTGCCTCCCAAGCTTCCGCGGGAGGAGAGCGATCCCTGCACAGGCTTAGGATGGAACCTGCGCCCCCCCAACTATAGTGGTAAGGTAAAGGGACCCCAGACCATTTGGTCCAGTCGTGACCGACTCTGGGGTTGCGGCGCTCATCTTGCTTTATTGGCCAAGGGAGCCGGCGTACAGCTTCCAGGTCATTGGCCAGCATGACCAAGCCGCTTCTGGTGAACCAGAGGCAGCGCACGGAAATGCCGTTTACCTTCCCGCCAGAGCGGTACCTAATTTATCTACTTGCACTGCGTGCTTTCGAACTGCTAGGTTGGCAGGAGCAGGGACCGAGCAACGGGAGCTCACCCCGTCGTGGGGATTCGAACCGCCGACCTTCTGATCGGCAAGTCCTAGGCTCTGTGGTTTAACCCACAGCGCCACCAGTGGTACCTTGGGTTAAGAACTTAATTCGTTCTGGAGGTCCGTTCTTAACCTGAAACTGTTCTTAACCTGAGGTACCACTTTAGCTAATGGGGCCTCCCGCCGCCGCCGCGCGATTTCTGTTCTCATCCTGAAGCAAAGTTCTTAACCTGAGGTACTATTTCTGGGTTAGCAGAGTCTGTACCCTGAAGCGTCTGTAACCCGAGGTACCACTGTATATGGCTGGCTGGCGTGCAGCTTCCTTCCCAAGCCTCCCTCACCCCACACCCCCAGGCTTCCCTCAGTGAAAGTAGCATTTATTACTACTCGGGAGGAGGCAGCGGCAAGATGAACATTTGAGGGCACTGGACGGATCTGCTAAAGGACGGACTTATGCTAAAGATGGCCCTGAGTCACATGTGCCTTGAAGACACATTTCTACTCCCCATGAGAAAGACCTGACACATTCACTGGGCCCCAAGTTTCAGAAAATACATTTTGAACGCGCAGCTGCTCAAAAACGGGGGGTGGGAATCCCTCTCAGCACCTTTGTAGTTCATCTCATTTTGAATCTTCTCAATAACGATTTCTGTATCTTCAGCTATATCGTCCTGGATGTCGACGATAGTTTTGGGCCGGCTGGCGTAAGAGATTACGGAGAACCTGATGGGAACATCAAAGCTGGCAATCTGGGAAGGGGAGGAAAGAAAGAAGAAACAGGAAAACAGAGGAAGAAGGAGAAAGAGGGGCAGAGGAGGTAAAAATGTGGTTCATGTGATTAAAGATATTGATTATTATTTTTATCATGGCCTTCAGCCTAAGGTCCGAGGTGAGTTACAATAATGAAAACACAATATTAAAAACAGCTTGAAACAACTTAAATTACCACCAAAAGTGTATTTCAGTGACCGATAATAATATATATTCATTTCCTTTCAGGGAGAATCTTTTTACTTGTCTTCTGGAGAAAAATCCACCATTTCTGGTCTGGTGTAGCGGTTAGCGTGTCAGACTAGAATGGGGTTGAGGCCTTGAGCTCCTTGGAGGAAAAGATGGCATAAATGTAATAATAATGATGATGATGATAATTTTATTAATTATACTCCGCCCATCTGGCTGGCTTGCAGCATATATAAAACTTGGTAGAACATCAAACATTAAAAACTTCCCGATACAGGGCTGCCTGCAGATGTCTTTGAAAAGTCCTTTTTATCTCCTTGACATCTGATGGGAGGGCGTTCCACAGGGCGGGCGCCACCACCGAGAAGGCCTTCTGCCTGGTTCCCTGTAACTTTGCTTCTCGCAATGAGGGAACCAGCAGAAGACCCTTGGCGGAGGACCTCAGTGTACATTTATATATTTGTAAATATATAAATAAAGGCACGTTTACATGACTGCTGTAGTTTCCTCTCAAGGAACTTGAAATATACTATGAGTCGAGAGTGGATTTCATGCTCTTTATTCAGCTCATAGTGGTGAGGAGGAATGGACGTTCCCCCAGAATGTCTGCTTTATATACATTATTTACACAATGGGCCCCACGTGATTGACTAATTCCGGGATTCACCTGTAGGCCAATCAGGTTGCAGATTCACTTCCACCTGGAGCTGGATTGGGTGGCTCCTGTGGACCAATCAGACTGCTGCATTCTGGACCCTATTGTTCTAGGACCAATCAGACTGCTGCATTCTGAATCCTATTGTTCTAGGACCAATCAGACTGCTGCTTTTTGGATCCTATTCAACTCAGTTCATAACAGAACTCCTACAAATTGTAGTTATGACAGAATTATCATTCCCCAACTCCATCCATTGCTTAGTTACCCAGAGTGCCTTGAAAGAAGACTCTTAATGAACTGGATATTTATTTTTTTAAAATTTATATACCCCTGCCTTGCCCTCATAGTTCAAGGCAGCTTACAAAAACCCCCAGTAAAACACAACGCTGTGTAAACGGAACTATATATAAAAGGAGGAGCAGAATCGAAACTAGCAGTAAAGCAGTTTAAAAGCAAACAGCAGTTAAAAAAAAGACAAAAACAACCCAAGATAAGAGACACCAGAGTAAAAACAAACAGCAGTAAAAAACAAAACAAAAACCCACACACACAATATTAATAAAAGCTAGATAGAAGGGAAAATAGAAGAATTGCACTTAAGGGTAGTAGACGGTGATAACAAAGGGGCAGGCAGAGTTGCTAAATGCCAAAGGGGCATTTTAAGTAGGAAGTTCTTAACACTACAGAAAAATGTCAGCAAAACAGCCAACCTTCCCAGGTATATGAGATCCAAAGTCTGGATGTGGCAACAGAGAAGGCCCTTTCTTTGCTTTTAGATAGGCTGAAACTTTGCCACAACAAATAAAACAACCAAAGGCTTAACAGCCTAGTTTGTATTTTTGCCTGGTTGCCTTCTCTTTCCTTCCTGCTCTGACCAAAGAACCTAGTCTTCAGCAACAGTGCCTCAGATTAAGGGGGTCTGGCCCTAAGCGAGCCCCCCATTTTCTGGCAACACCTTTGCCCCAACCAAATGTGGGCTTATTGTGGGTGTGGGATAAATTTTATTCCATCAACATTTAAAGGCGACTCTACCTCATTGCCCATTTTCTAAAACACCGCCATCTTCCCAAATCCACACTTTTTCCATTTTTTTGCAATGTGCTTCTTCAGCTAAATGACAAGTACAGTGCTACCTTGGGTTACATACACTTTAGGTTAATACGCTTCAGGTTACAGACTCCGCTAACCCAGAAATATTGCTTCAGGTTAAAAACTTTGCTGCAGGATGAGAACAGAAATCGCAGGGCGGCAGCGGGAAGCCCCATTAGCTAAAGTGGTGCTTCAGGTTAAGAACAGTTTCAGGTTAAGTACGGACCTCCGGAATGAATTAAGTTCTTAACCCGAGGTATGTACGTGTGGAGGAAAACGTGTGTAGTCGGTGAAAATGACATCAGGGGGAAAACTGTGTTGCAAAAAGGTGAAGTTTAGGAGGAAATGGCGCTAAAACTCTGGCAACTTTTTCATGACGACTAACTTGCCACAAACTGAAATTAAAACCAGGGTGGAGGGGAATAGAAGCCGAGAGAAATTGAAATGGATAGATTTGCCCAAATCCCACGTGGGCTTGGCCTACAAGGCCTCTGAAGATTAGATTAAGAAGTAGACAGGCTCTGACAGGATAATGCCATCTATTATTATTATTATTATTATTATTATTATTATTATTATTATTATACATTGCATGCGCACCCTGCGTAAATGGGCTTGAGGGGAACTAGAAATCAACATTGTACTAGCAAATGGACCTAAAAGTACAAAGTCGAAACTTTTGCAGCTATCATTAAAAGCTGCAAAAGCAAAGAAGCATGAGACTGAGGGAGAAACCTTTGGCAGGATATCAGCTCTGCGCAAGGCATGACGGATAGCATCAACAGCCGGTAAAGATAGACATAATATTTTTCAAGGACAGGAAGAAACAACATGGACAGAATAAATGTCACACACAGGAGGAACAAGGATGTATGAAATCTTCACTTGTAGGCAAACAAATCATTAAATGTCAATAAGAATAGAAGTTATAAATATTGCAGCTGTTGTATAAGGGATCACTATTATGACAGGAAAGTAACTGAAATTAGTAAGATTTTGGAATGCAAAAATAAAGTAAATCATCAAACCATCAATTCTAGCATGCGGGGGCCCACCTGAATTAGGTAATTTGGTATTTGAATGATTGATATTGGGAATTTTAATTGGGCATTGATATAATGAGGCTATTATTGGATTATTGTAATTGAAAACTGATATTTTTTTTAAAGTACAAAGTCGCATTCATACAAACCTACCCTGGTGATTATGACCTCCAGACACTGCTTAGAGATGTTGAAGTTGGGTTCAGTTACGCTGTGAGATGCATCCACAAGGAAGTAGACATATAGGAAGCTGTCTTTGGAGAGTATAAGCCGTCGTCCTAATGAAGGAGCTAGTATGGGGAAA